CATATCATGGATCTCTATTTTCCACTTACAACTCGAAGAATGACTGACAGTAATAATAATAATAATCTTCAGTGTGTTGCATTTCTTATCTGCTGATAGAATGGCATGACTGGCTGGCTGGCTGGATTCAACATAGAACTTGGCACCGAAGTGCAGCAGTTCAAGTTGCCACGTTCCAAAGAGCACACAAAGGTAGACAAGAAGATGAGTGAAGAGAATCAATAGAGTTTTGACAAGTATAAGAGTGAAACAGAATGAGTAATGGTAGAAAGGAATATGAAAGATTACAGAGACTGAATACATCTGCGTAAGCCATTGACAACGATTTTGAGCCATATCACCTATTGTCTCCAGCCATTGATTCTTAGAGTCCCGAGGGCGGGCCCCAACCCGGAAGTCTGCATCTCCCTACCTGACTCAGTTTAACTGTCAAGGACTTCATGGATTGATGAGGCCATGTTTTTGTTTGGCCACCGCTTACTCTTTTCCAACCTGCACCTATATCAGCTGGTAATGACCGTCGGAGAAGGCGATGGCTAGGCATGCGCAGCACGTGACCTAGCCATCTCAATCTATGTAACTTCATAGCCTCTTCGATTGATTTTCCTTCTTTGCCCAACACTCTACGCCTAACGTCAACATTACTTACCTTATAATACCACCTAACGCGAGAAAGAGGTCGTAAACATCTGTGGTAAAAAACACTAAACCTTTTCATGTCTTCCGCTCTCAATGGCCACGTCTCACCACCATAGAGAAGGACGGAGCGAACTGCTGAGCAGTGCACACATCCCTTGGTTGATAGTCGGATGTCACGCCTACGCCAGAGATGGTGTAAGTTAGCGAAAGCAGCCCGAGACTTTTGGATCCATGCTGAGATTTCGTCACCAATCAATCCCTTGATGCTGATACAACTTCCCAAATAGGTGAAGTGGTCAACATGTTCGATCACTTCACTCCCTATCACGAAGCTAGGAGTTGACGTAGTCCAGTCCTGTAGCAGCATCTTACATTTTACAGGGGCGAATCGCATGCCAAACATACGTAGATTGCTGCTCAAGGTGTTCAGAAGACTCTGCGTTTTGTCAGCATCCTCCCCTAACAGGAATATGTCATCTGCATATTCTAAGTCCATAAGACTATCCCCTGGTAACAAGCCTTTCGCAGCAAACTAGACAGCTTTTAGTAGAACTCATCCTTCGTTTCATCCAAACTGCAGTCAGTGGGGGCGTAGGCGGAGATTACGAAAAGGCATCGGCGAGTAGTGCAGTCCTTTCTCCTTTTCACTGATCCGTTCAGACGGACAGCATACATTCGGCTATCTACCGGGATCCAGTCAAGTAATGTCTTTTCTGCCCTAGTACTCAAAGCTATCCCAACACCAGCTAATCCTCGTGAGCTAGCCGTCTCATCTCCTGACACCCTTAAGGTGAATTTTGCAGATTCATCCTGTTGGCCAGGTGGGGTTAGGTGAATGACCACACTTGGGCCTTGTATGCGTGTTTCTGAAACATAACATACATCAATGGCTCGGGATGCCAGAGTCTTGGCTAATGATGCTTGTTGTCCTATTTGACAAAGTGTCCTAACATTAAATGCTCCTATATGAAATTAGTGGCGTGACTTTAGGAGACTATCGATGGTGGCTTTTTGGCTTCCATCGTTATCAGTGCACACAGAGTGAAGAGGAAGTGAAGAGCCATCAAGTAGAGGAGTTGCATTAGTAGAAGGAAGGCAAGATAATAGAGATGAAGATGGAGACAAAGATGAGTTAGGATTAGAGAGGATTCGCATGCACTTCGGATTGTGAGGGCGATTGTTACTTCCCGGCTGCCCACACCATGGAAGTTGGTTGCGTGACCGCAGAGCCCAGGGGACAACTGCTTGAGGCCGGTCACACGCGGCCTGTTTTTGTTTGTTCTTTCTTGTTTGGCGTGTCTCAGTAGCATATCTATCACCTCTGCCCTGTGACACGGCAGCAGGAAGCGCGGTCGTTGTTAATCCGGGCCCCGACCGATCCGGCATGATATTTTGTGATTTTGTTTGAGTCATGGGATTTGGTTGGGTAGCTGCTTTTTGTCTAACCGCTATCCAAACAACCTTTCTGGCATGGTAGGACCTACAGGAACATAAGTTCCAGCCAGTGTAGCTCGTTGGGTCATTACGATATGCAAGCCCGACCACCACGTCAAGGTTGCAGCTTTCGGTCGGGTATGGCGTGAATGAAATTTAAATCTCCACTTCAGTTGAGCAATACTACTAAATATATATCATAAACAAATTATACGTATGACTGGCACAAAACACCACCTACCGTGTATGCAAGGCATTCTGACAGATATTTAACTAACAATCGGATAAATATTTCATCTTCAGAATCAAAGGATGACTGCTGACGCTGTATGCTACAGCTCTGTGATTTTTCACTCTTTTCTAAGCTAGTTACACTTCCAAAACAATTCTCACAGACTGATTCATATGAAGCAAGTTTGGTTAAACAATTTTTCATCACCGTAAACGGATGTTGAGCTAAGAAAAAATTTTAAAAATGTACAAGGTGTTATAAACAATTCCGGTAAAAGTATTTTTACAGTTGCATACATGAAAATAAATCCTCCTCTGCTGCACTCACTGAAGCTGGTGTCCCCCAAGGTGCTGTACTCTCCCCACTTCTCTTTTCTTTCTTTCTACATGACTTACCATCTTCAAATGACATTAATTTTGTCAAATATGCTGACGATCTGTCTGTGACTGCTCTAAACTTAATGGCTTTCTATCAGAAATCAGCCAGTGGTCCAAGGAAAATGGTCTTACCTTAAACCCCTCCAAATGTCAAACATTCAATTTCACCTATAGGCATAAATCTGACCTAAACAAACTGGTTAGCACTTACGAGGTGTGCAACATAGATGACACTGAAATAGAAACCAAATCGGAAATTAAATACCTAGGTGTGATTCTATCTGCTGATCTCTCCTGGTCGTCTCATATTTTGGCGATTTCTAAGAAAATATTCCGTTTTACCTTCTACATCAAGAAATTAAAACATTCTGGTATAACCCAACCTTTACTCCTACAATTCGTTAACTCTCGCATTCCGCCTATTATTCTCTATTGTTCCCCCTTAGTTTTTCCCGGGCTACTGAAGAAAGACTATAACATATTACGCAGGATGTTAAAGATTGTCAGTAGGGTAAGCAACGTGCCACTTGACCAGCTTGTTAATATTCTGGTTGACTGGCACATGGACTTATGTGAAAAAATGGGCGAAATCCATTTTATCTAACTCACACCAGCCTCTTCACTCACAACTCTCCCCTTGTATCTCATCAGGTAAAACTAGAAGCCTATATAGAAAACTATATGTTCGCACCAGCAAGTACAAAAACTCAACCATGATAAAGAAAGCATTAGGCGTGACACCTATAATTCATTAAATGGTCAGTATTATTTATTTATTTACAGGTACAACATTTTCTTTCTTTCTTTCCCATTTCTCTCTCTTTTTTTCTTTCTTTCCGTTATGTGCTACTTTGTTTCTTTCTTCCGCTTACGCCAGTAAATATGACAACACCTACTTTTCTAACACCTTCAAACACTGTTCAACTTCGGATTTGCTACCGACATGCCAATATGTTATTGTCATAATGAACTGAGATTTCCTTAATCTATGTAGAATTTTATTTATTGATAATGTACTAAATGGATGCAATACTGTAGTAAAAATGCTGAGATTTCCATTCTGTATCACATGTACTGTTTTGGAATAAAGCAAATTATTATTAAAAAATATAATTGAAATGCTTAACAGTGAACTAAAAAATCTTTTGTCTCATTTCAACATCACATTTACTACGGCTGATGTGATTATTCTCCTGGATTCCGGAGTAGATCGACTGAGATGGATAGAACATGTGTTACGCATGCTAAGCCATCATCCTCTTCGAAGAGCAATGTTGGTTGACATAGGATTAGGTTGGAAAAGAGTAAAGCGTCGGTGAGTCCCGCCGGCTAATTGGCTCATATCCATGCTGAAATGCCATACTTGTACTGAAAACGTGTGGAATCAAGCTGTAACCAAATAAAAATAAATCAAGACCAGAACATTATTCCATGAAGTCTTACACTGTTGGTTTGATCCAATGATTTAGGGAAGTGTTGACTTCCTGATTGGCTTACTTGGGGTGTTAAGAACCCATGGTTGCTGTCCATTGGTGATATGGTTCAAAGTCGCTCAGATGCATTCAATCTTTGGTTATCCTCCATATCCCCTGAACTGTCATCTTTCTTCCATGCCTCTGTCCCTCTCCCTAACATTTATGCTTATTACCATTATTATTATTACTAAATGTTATTTTGTTCTCCTTTTTGTCTATCTTTGTGTGCTGCATAGAGTGTGGCAACTTGGATTGGTTCACTTTTTTGAAAAGTTCTAGGTTGAATCTCAGTCAGTCAGTCAGTCGGTCCGTCCGAGTAGAACATAACACTTCAGGGAAATATCGTCATTACCCTCTGTTCTTTGAAGTCTTTCTTAGCTGACGCCATCACCGCATATAGGCTTCCATTCCCTCCTCATATGATCTCATCCATGTCACCCCTAACCCGCACCCAAGTCGTTTGATGATTGGAGGCCTGATTAAAACTTGGACTACCGAAAAACTTCCATCTCTTCATTGCATATATTTCTCCTATTTTGCTTTGTTTTATTCGATTTGAATATGACTACTGTTGTGTGTATTTAAAATGTTTTTCAGGCTTTTGATTCTCTGGAGCTCCTAATAAACTTGAAGAATGGCCTGATTTTGGGTTTGCAACATCTTCCAGTACATGAGATAACTAACTGTTCTTCAGTTATTATGTCTTTAGGTCTCAAAATGTACTTCTAAACATCTTACAGTTGGCTTTCAACTAGATATCGTGGATGGATTTCTTGAAGGCGACAGATATTGTATGAAGGGAAAATATTATATAATTAACTCCTCCAAAAATCCCGTACACTTTATAAATACTGCCCCGAATAAAGATGCTATTTATTATTATCATTGTTATTATTATTGTTCCTGCTCATACTCCATTTGACTCCCTACCTGGATAGTAGTGTCACTCAACTTTCCAATAAGAGTACATCTGATCTATCTCTAATTCCTTCTGCATATTTCTCGGGTTATAGTTCCTTGGTCGGCTTGCTGCCACAGATCCATGTTCGTTATCCTTTCTGGCCAGTCATTCGATCTTCAGTATGGATCGAAGGCAGTTATTAGTGAGAAAGTGAGGCCATTTGCAAATGCTTTTCTTGACAAAAGCAACAAGTCTCTGAATTATGTAGAATCACTAACTCAACATCAGTGTTTTGTAATTTATTTTTTATTTTAATGGGAAAAATCATTGACTCATAGTTGAGAATTGTAGAAAACACAGGTCAGAATAAATAGTGGTGTATTGTGATTTTTTCATGAATTTATCTTTTAACCCACACCCTACCCCCCCCACAATATCACAATTCCCTTTTATATTTTACTCTATCTGATATTTTAGGACAGTTCGGTGTCTTATTTCTGCACTTTTGTTTTCATTTTACACTACATTTACTATGGAAATATGAGGTGTGATAATTAATCTGAAACGCTACACACTAGTTTCAGGTCATTATGATGACAATACACTCTAAGAAGGAAATCAAAATTCCAAGCAGGACACTTCTAAACCTCCTCTAGGCATTAATAAGCCCGAAACAAAGTAAGTTTGGGCATAAGGCTAGCAATCTCACCTCCTAAAAACAACAATACCGCTAATAAAGCAGGATTTAACGAATTCATCAAATTTTCGTTAGAACTCGTCAGCTGAATACTCTACATACACAGATATATATTTACTTTTGAAATTACATTGGGAGATATAAGACTTATAAGCAAATAAACTACATTGAATTAGTCATGCAGAAAGACAGGTGAGAATGTTTTCCATGCCATGTTCAAATAGATTAGGGGAGAGGAAGTATGAGAGATTAAAATTAGGATAAAGTGCATTACGCTTCAATGATATCACTTAGATAAACAATTATTCACCAGAGAATATATCAAGAATTGCAAACAGAGTAATATCAATAGTAATAGTTATAATAACATCAATAATAATAGTTTTGAAGTGAGTTAAGACAATGCTACTGATAAAAGATAGTTTTAAATAAATCATAATAATAATAAGGATAATAAGTAAAGCGTATTACCATGGTAGATTCAGAGTGACAGCTATCTCCTTTTGTACACAGAGACCTGGTTTGTAAACTCTAATTGCACAAGTCTCCACAATTGCAAGCATCTTCCTGTTTCTTTGTCTGGTGATAACAGTGAAAAACTTGATAGCGTCGATATCATGTCCATAGTCCACAAGATGTTTTGTTATTGAAGTTTTTGACACTTTGCATTCAGCGGTTTTCAACCATTTTAGCAAGTGCTGCATCATGCGAGTAGACAATTGCCTTTCTGTACGACCTGTGTATTTGCTTCCACAAACACACTCAAAATGATAAACGCAGTTTGAGGATTGGCGACTGATCTTTCCCAGATTGTTGAAGCACTCATTTGATGGTGTTAAAGAAAACAGGTTTTGTAGCATAATACGTTTTCTTGATAGCTTTATCGAGTATTCAAACGAAGACTCGATATATATATATGTATATATCCGTGTATGTAGAGTATTCAGCTAACGAGTTCTACTGAAATTTGATGAATTCATTAAATCCTGCTTTACTAACCTCTGTTGCTTTTTTAAAATTCGTATCGGGAAATAAATGCTTTCAGCAACACCGCTACTGAAACTTTAGAAAAGCTTGAAACCCTTTATGTTCCAGTTGAAGTATACCTGAAGTTCCCTCTTGCATTTTTTCTAGAGCTCACATATATCTAGACTACAGTATGTGATTGGCATCACCCTAAACAGGCAGACTACATCTCACAAATGTGTCTCATAAATGTCCAAGCCTGACCACCTCTGACTCCCTTCTAACTTAATTGTAAGTTAGTCAGAATGCGTATTGCACATTCAAGTCATCTCAAGTGGTGCAGCTACACAATCTCACCGAGTGACTTTGCCTGCTTGCGCAACACTACACCACTTAGCATGGGTGATAGAAAGCAGACTTTTATGAATAAATACTGTTATCTTGTCCCACTTTCAGTGACGATGTCTCACCTGGAAAGTAGAATGGAGTAGAATGCTACAGAGCAAACAAGTTCTTTGGTTTCCTTATTATTATTATTGTTTCTTTAATTCCTAGAGGAACATAGGGCTTCAGCTGTGCGTCTCCATTGCTTTCGGTTCTCTGCTAGAGTCTTCACCTGGCTCCAAGTCTGCCCACACGCTTTCATCTCCTCTTCACATGACCCCCTCCATGTCACCCTTGCACTGACGACCAACCCGACGCTTCCCTTTCGGCGGGGTTCCAATCGAGCAATCGCTTGTCTAGTGATGTCACTTGATGGTTTCCTCAGAGTATGGCCAGCCAATCCATCTCCATTTCCTTCTGCATATTTGTTTCACAATCGGTTCCTGGTCGGTTCGCTCCCAGACATCCCTGTTGCTGATCTTTTCTGGCCGGCTATCTGATCTTGAGTATTGAGCGAAGATGGCTGTTAACGAAGGTCTGTAGTTTGTTTGATATGCTCTTTATGACGCGCAGTGCAAGTCCCAGATCCGTATAGTAGCACTGACTGACTTCACATTGGAGTTGAAAATCCGGTTCTTATTTGTCATGCTGAGTGCTGAGTGTTCATCTCCACACAGACTTGAGAGTAGTGAAAGCTTGTCTTGCTTTCCCGATCCTCGCTTTGATATCTTCATCAGTTCCGTCCGCCTGCAGTTGGAACGATGCTTCACAGGTAGGTATTTTTTTATTTATTTTTGATTTACAGCTTGATTCCACACCGTATTTTCAGTACAAGTATGGAATTTTCAGCAGGGATATCAGTTAGCCCAAATTCAGGCCGACCATAGATATCGGGTGTGCGCCGGCAGGGAATCAAACCCCGGACCATGTGCATGGTCGGCGAGAGTCCTAACCACTGTGCCACCGACGCAGGAGGTTGTTTCTTTCAGGTTCCTTCCATTTATGCTGATTGTTGTCTGTTGTTGTTGCTGCTGTTGGTGGTGTTTCCCAGGAATCTTCATCACCTCTGTTTCCTCTATGTTCACCTGAAGGAAGTCCTATCTTTGCTGCTTCTTCTGTCAACATGTTGCTTTTCGCTTGCATATCTTCCGGTTTGTGAGAAATCAGACAAAAATCATCGGCGAAGTCCAGATCCTCCGAGTTTTTTGTGTGAGTCCATCTCATGCCTGTTTCCTCATTGCCCACTGTTTGTCACATTATCCAATCTACTGCAATCAAGAAAATCATTGGCGATAGTAGGCAGCCAGCTTGTCGTACTCCTGTCCTCACTACAAAGGATTCCGTAAGTTTCCCGTTGTGGATTACTTGGCATGCAGCATTGTCGTACAGCTGTTGGATGAGATGTATAATTGTCGGTGGCAACCCGTAGTAGGGAAGTAGTTGCCAAAGCATCTCTCGATCGACGCTGTTGAAGGCCTTTTCAAAGTCGATGATGTTGGGAAAGAGAGGTGACTGCCATTCCAAGCTTTGTTCAATGATGATCCGTAATGTGGCAACCTGATCAATACATGACTTGTTTCCCCTGAATCCAGCCTGTTTCGGTCGGAGTTTTTCATCGAGGGCATGTTTGATTCTTTCCAGTATGATGCGGCTTAGTATTTTGCTTGGGATGGAGAGGAGCATAATTCCGCGCCAGTTCTTGCATTGACTTAAGTCTCCTTTCTTTGTTAGTTGAAATAAGTATCCTTTCCTTAGGTACAGCTGATGCCTGAGCCTGAGAGATGGTATAACTCTCGTAAGTGGAAAACAAATGTGTCTCATATGCATACTGTGATTTCCTGAACAATCAATCCATTTGGGCTGATACAACTTCCTAAATAGACGATGTTTTCAGGACATTCTTAGCATGTGTATTGGATTTTGTTTTACAAGATTAATCCTAAATTAAACTATGATTTAATGATGAGATTATTTTGCGAAAATTCCATTTACTACAGGTGTTTTAATCCGATTTAATGAAAAATTTCCTTTCTCAGCATTTTCTCATCAGTCCGGCTTGTTACAAATAAAACATTTAGACATAGCAATAAGAAGACGTAATTTGTTTAAATCGTGTATTGTGTATTGTATTTGAGCAACACATTTCGAACAATCTGATCACTTAAGGACTTGTCATAGCAATATATACATTTGAAATTAATAAAGTGTTAAGAGGTGAGAAAATGGACTTAGGTAAAGTTTAAAGGAAATACTGAAGGTTAAAATAACAACGAAGATCACTAAACCAAATAACAGAAGTAACGGTACATCTACACTGGCTGAAATCAAAACAAAGTTTACCAAAGAAGGTTTAGTTTGATGACGAATTGTTGCTTTTAAACATACACAGGTGGTTTAAGCTTCCTAATTACCGGCTAGGGCTTCCACAAACTTTAGGATACGCCCTCCCCCAAACGTGTTCTACAGATAGGTTTAAAAGACGTATTGAAACATCAATTTTATATCCTGTCTATATAATATGTTTCGCAATAGAGGAGCCATGTCGTCTGTTCTCTCCATCACTGAGTCCCAGGGATTCTGTTTTCTTCTGAAACCATTTAGGAATTCGCTCTGAGACCAGCCCTTACTCGCAGAGATCGATGAGTCCTGCTTATGTATGTGTGACAGCACACACATTCACATTGGTAAATACAGTGGGATGTGGCATCATTTTTCGCATGCTCAAACGGCTTAGTTGGATATATTGGCTTCACATTCTCAATTATTCTGAAATTAGCCGCATAAAATGTCTTTTTAACCACAACAGCGTTCAGTCTTTGTCTAGTCGTCAAGCTGCTATGATCCTCCATATATGGTAGCTTGATGTACACGTCTTTCTTAGCGGCGAGTTGGAGGATGGGTCTTGGTGTTCTGACTACTTTATATCTCCTTATGATGAAACATTATTGATCACATTTGCTAATGTACAGATGTATTAAACGCATTAACAGAGCTCACAGTCTGTTGACTGAGTCAAATGTTTTCTTTTCTCCCTACACTTCTTAATGGACATTTTTCATACATTAAAGTGAGGAGAATAACTTTAGTTGTCAGATAAATGAACACCCTTTTTGAAACCATCATTTCGTTGTATGAGTTCCTAATAAGGATGCCTCAACGACACTTCAGGGTTGACACATTGTTATTTGATAAATCCACTGGAATCTTGGATGCGGATTTCGACTATTTTCAGACTCATCAGCTCTGGATGTACCTGGATTCGAATAAGTGATGTTATTCTCACCAAGACTCAAAGCCAGCATCCATCGATTCAAACGTCAAGGGTATTACCCACTAGGCCAAGGAACCACAGAAGACATCACTTGTGAAATAAGTGACAGCTGTTGTTACTTGTTGCTCCTATGATTTAAAAGTTCTTGTTGATTGATTACATCGGAGTGAAATGCTCAGAGTTTGTTAACATGTCAACTTCTATTGAAGACGCTTCTACACTTCAAAAAATGAACACTTCGTTTGAAAATTTCATAAGTTGAAATTTTCACATCCCATTCGAGAGTAAAGATATAAGAGTCAATCAAAAACCTCTTTCTAGTTGTATGTCTTGTGTGTTTCAACACTCATCATCAAAGTACATTTGAAAACTCAAAGAAATACATTTTCAGCAGGATTAGTTCTACTGAGTTGTATAATAAAAATCTTAACTCAGGAGTGTTCTCTGATGTGGGTGGTTTAATTTTGAAGCTTTCGTTTCCCATCTAAACAACATCTTCACAGCTGTGAGACCTAGACATTGAAAGTGGAAGACATGAAAAGGCTAGCTATCTTTGATCATAGGTGTCTGAGTTCTGTCACAGGTGTCAGGTAATATAATATGGTGAGCGAAATTGAGGTTAGGCATCGATCGAGTACCGAGTAAGAAGGGGAAATCAATAGACGAGGTTGTGAAGTTACATTGACTGAGATGGTTAGGACATGTGTTACGCATGCATCCCTAGCCATCGATCACCTTTCTTGACGGGCAATCTTAGCTGCCTTGCATAGGATCAGGTTGAAAAAGAGCTAGTGGCCAAACCAAAACATAGCCTCATCAGTCAATGAAATCCACAACACTTAATTTAAGCCACTTAGGAGAGGTACAGACTTCCTGACTACTTGGGGTCCTCGGGATGGTAAAAACCGATGGCTGCAGACAATCGGTGATATGTCTCAAAATCCTTTTCAATGGCTGGTACAGATGCATTCATTGTTTGTGGTTTATCAGATCTAATAAAAATATACTGTTCTTGAATATTACTATTCTTTTTGCCTCATATCTATGTTTACTGTCTCTGTTTTGTATTACTTTTTACTTTCTTCTCTGGCCTTGTGTGCTAAGTGAAGTGTGGCGACTCGAACTGCTGCATATCTGTGCAAAGTTCTATGTTGAAACCAGTCAATCAGTCTTCAGAGCTAAGGATGCCATCTAGAAGGACAAAGAAAGCTTCGCAATTAAATCAAGCAGCTTAGAGAACCTAACTAAATCAAAATCATCCACTTGAGCTGCAAATCTTCGCCATTATTTCAGTGCATATAATTTAATCATATCTTTGTTTTTTATAAAACGTTTCAGGTAAATTCAACTTACACAGATGTATATCTTCTGTTGTAAATGTATTCTTGTACAGGAATTGTAACATTGTGCAGAGAAATGCATTCACTGTAACTACAAACTGATCTGCTGTAAAATAAAGCAACACAAAAATCAATATTTCACGATAATATAAATTTTTGGTATTTTTATTAATGCGTCTCTTAGCTGATAAGACTGATTGGTAAGTGAGACTTTAATTCCAAGGAAGCCTTTTAATATCACAGTGAAAGACATCATCTCTCATTAGCTCAACTCCATAACTCATGCTAAAAACTCATCATGAAGGAATGACGAAGTCAATAGTTCGTAGTGTTTTATCTCTAACCGGCAGCTAATAGAAATCAACTCCAAAGTTTGATCACGGAGTGATGTCAGTTAGAGAACCAGTGAAAATCAGAGAGTATTAGACAGCAGTCGTTGGGAAGGAATCCAGCGGCTAACCTATGAATTCTAGATTCTATCAATTCGCGAATTTCGGTACCACTGCCAGTCTATGTCACCAGACAATTTTAGTCCTCAAACTCGATGTGCTGGACACCGGTGATGGCAACACCTCACCGGAACTCCTGGCAACTCTGTCCTGTGCTCGGTCACTAATGGTATGGGGTATCACTAAGTGGATGACAAAATGACGAGATTTAGAATTCAAGAGGTGGTCATAAGATCACATATCAGTGGTTGAATCGTCAATGATCTCGCCTCGTAATCTGAATGTCTAAGGTCGGAACCCGGTAGGTCCATACTGATGAAAAGCCCCAAACTATGACGAAACAGCTGTCCAGTACCCCCTAGTTTCAAGTGGCTGCCTAACTGATACCACTCCATGATGAAACATGAAACTGCGAACTAATTAACACTCGTAAAACAAATCCAGTTGTCCTGAAATTCATGATTTTTAACGGTTTTGAATGTTACATTGATATTCCTAACGAAAACTAAACACACTGAAATCTTTCATTTCGTCTCAGAATAAAAGCTTCAATGAATTTGATTTGAATCCTTAGAATACTTGTGATTGAAAGGCTCTAACCTTTTGTTACCTCAGGGTGAATAAGGCAGCAATGCTACTTTTACAGTTTTCTTTCAGACGGAACACACTTGACGAGTTGAATCCAATCAAAATAAGTGTAATTCGTTTACAGGTTCGAATTAAACATTAATCTGATAGAAATCTTTCTGAATTTATGAATTTCTAGTTAGTCAGTCGTTAAAGTTGAAGTTCCCGTCCCAAAAACTGAGATCAGTAAATGTACTCTCAATTTAAGACGCTTTACACTGATAGCAGAATCTCAAAATTATAGTCCACTGAATTCGTAAACAGCATCCTTAAAATTGAAGTTTTATTCTAGAACCTATTCGTCCTGAGAAAAAATCACAAATTATGCTAGAGATTTTCAGTATTATAAACTTTTAAAGTTTAGCAAGATTCTATCCGATGCCCTTCATTTTCTATGGTCCTTCGAGTGACACAATCTTCAAGTATAACAAGATCGATACTCTTCTGTGCAAGCTAACTAATAGGCAAATTACTTATTTGGTTGGAGGAAATCATCATCAGCTGGCACAAGATAGAGAAGCATTGGAAATAAAACCTGGGAGTACTGGACAGCTGTTTCGTCCTAATTTCGGGGACTCTTCAGCAGCTCATGATGAAATTCTCTGCGTCGGTGGCACAGCGGTTAGGACTCTCGCCGACCATGTACATGGTCCGGGTTTCGATCCCCTGCCGACGCACACCCGATATCAGTGGTCGGCCTGCAAAATTTGGGCTACCGATATCCATGCTTAAAATTCCATACCTGTACCGAAAATACGGTGTGGAATCAAGTTATAATCAAAGAAACCAATACTTGAAAATTACTTATTTACTGATATAAATGATAATTTATCGTGTCAAATCAAACATGAATTTTATTAAATTTTTATTATTGTTTCCTTTAATTCCTAGAGGAACATAGGGCTTCAGCTACACATCTCCATTACGTTCGGTTCTCTGCCAACGTTTTCATCGCCTGGCTTCACGTCTGCCCACATGCTTTCATCTCCTCTTCACATCACCTCCTCCTCCATCTCACCCTCGCACTAAAGACCAACTCGCCACTTTTCATTCAGGTTCCACTCGGCCAATGGTCTGGCGCGTGATTTCACTCACTTGATGGTTTGTTTTCAGAGTATGGTCAATCAAACTCCATTTCTTCCTACAGATTTGTTGTACAATCGGTACCTGGTTGGTTTACTCCGAGAGATCCCTGTTGTTGATTTTTTGATCTTGAGTATTGGGCAAAAACAGCTGTTGATGGAGGTCTGTAGTTTGTTCGAAGTGTCTTTCATGACGAGTATTGCAAGCCTGTGATCCGTATAGAGTGGAACTGACTTCACGTTGGATTTGAAAACCCGGATCTTATTTTTTTTGCTGAATGATGTTGATCTCCATAAGGATTTCTAAATATTCATACAGTTAATCATATGTACTACGCGTTTCATGAAATAGTGAGTTGTACAGGCTTATCTAACTGTTTTCTAACCTAGAGGGATATGATATTGCATACATCTATATATCTCAGCGTCATCACTAGAACACGAGTAGAAACAAAGCATATCTGATGATAATAATAATAATCATCATAGGCGTCATATTTAGTCCTAAAAAGTCGTGTAAATGCAATTCCGTATATGTTTTTGACTTTGAATCCTGTTGCCTAAATATGACTATTAAGTAATATTCACTGCTAGCTAGACTAGCAAGAACTTTGGAGCCATTTAGATAAATACTTTTTCTCAAATTTTATATTATTTTTACGTTATTACATGAATATATAGCAGCGAATTATGCCTTTACAATGAGTGACGTTCTTAGGATAATATTTATAAGATCCACTCCTAATCAAGTATGAAACATACACGGGATGAATTAAGGCATTATTCCACTACTGTTGGTTATTAGCATATATATGACATGGACTAAGTGCACCTTTACTACTGCTGGATATCTAATTTTTACTTGTGAAATATATTAACTGATGACACTGGGAACCTTCAAGTGTGCGGTGTGCAAGGATTAGACTGGTTTCAAGACTGATCATGAAACGACCTCAGTTAGAGGACCATTGAAGACCAAGGATTACTGAATAGCTTTCCAGTGCTACATGGTTTCGCCAAACGTAATACTTCATGGAGAAGGACATCAATGGAGGAATTATGAGAAGCAAATTAGCATGCAGTAGATGTTCCACCGTGGTACGATTTCACCTATTCAGAGCACTCTAGGTATCCAACTTAGAACTGTCGATCTTGAAGGGATTAGCTTGCTTGATTTTTATTCAGCTATTAAGCTGTTTTCTGTGTTCTAAAAAATAACTAGATACTGTAGGCCCTCATCAGTTGACATTACATCTAGTCATTAGAGAAGAGAAGTTTGTCATATATCTGAAGGATTCTTTTTCGCTTGAGTTTTATTACTTTTATTGGTGTTTCCTTAGGATCTGAGTGGAACATAAGGCTTCAACTTCATGTCTTCATTTTTTCCTATTCTTTGAGGTATTCTTTAGCTGGCCTCACGATTGTCTAGTCTCTGATCTCCTTCATGTCACCCACGGACTTCGCAATGGTCGTTTTCCACTCGGGAGCTTGGCGTCTGCTTTCATTTGGCAAGCCAGAAACGTTGACAAAAGTGTTCACGTCCCAAATCAGGGTCATGAGAAAAACAATAGCGAAGCTTAACCTCGAGAAAATCACCAGCCAATCACAGCGGAGTAAACGTGTGGAAATATGATTCGCAGATATATGGCTTGATTTTCTGAGAAATGGCCACAAAGAGATAAAAGAAGAACCTTTAGCAGGAAAACAGCCAATCATAAGAGATTGCTTTTCCGCTAACAATAATGTACTTAAAAATCTATAAATACCTCTTGATTTTCTCAACAACAAAAAACAATTTGTTGCCTGACCCTTGTCTTCTGTCATTACACTTCTATACGGTTCAGTGACTTGAAATGCACATCACCTAAAGCATTTCCAACACGCTACACTGCAAACTTTTATCAATAACTGCCCACTTTACTCTGTACTTAAGGTCAAATGACCAGAATAGATGAGAAGGCAACAATAGACTGTATCAACAAACCAACCAAGAGCCTATTGCAGCAAAAAGTGAAGATAGATCAGACAAAAGCTTAGAAGACCTTTGAGCCATATCACGCCTCAGGATTTCAAGACGAGTCTGAAGGGGAGTGAGGCAGTAACGCTTGGCGGATCTAGTGAGGATAAAATGTAAGCTTATGAGTACTTGTCGAACCAGCAAAAGATGATTGCAGGGAACAGGGTTAGACGGAGTTGTGCCGTTGAAGCCGTATATCTCACTCAAAACTGAAGGGGATAATAATGATAGTTGTAGACGATAAATCCAAAAGTACCAACTATTCCAATTCAAGTACACGAAAACATTATGACGTAATTTATCCTCCCTTATTCCTAATTCCAATACTGATACAGAGGTACTACCCCGACCACGCCAACGAAATTTTTCAAACCTCACAACCTACTGATACATTGGCGACGGTATCAGTGGAGGCTGGACTTAGTCGCCATCATTCATCAATCCAAACTTATGAACCCAACAAATCCAAGAAATATCATGCCGGATCGGCCGTGGCCCGGATTAACAACGACCGCGCTTTCTGCTGCCGTGTCACAGGGCAGAAGTGATAAGTACACTACTGAGACACACCAGGCCGCGTGTGACCGGCCTCAAGCAGATGTCCCCTGGGCTCTGCGGTCACACAACACTAACCTTTCTTCCATTTCAGGTACCCGAAGACGAAACTCAGGCGTGAGGCCAGCAACCCCACCCTGTAAACAAACCTGCTACAGAAACTTCACCATGAGCAATCTCCTTGCGACAAAAGAAAAAGTCTGTGTGGGGACATGGAATGTCCGCACTATGTACGAGACTGGCAAAGCTGCCCAGATCGCCAGCGAGATGAAAAGATACAGAATCCAAGTGCTGGGAATATGTGAAAGCAGATGGAATGGAAGTGGACTCACCAAATTATCAACGGGAGAGTCAGTGATCTACTCCGGTCACCCAGAAGATAACCACACGCACACCGAGGGCGTGGCTATCATGATGTCACCAACGGCAACGAAAGCCCTGATGCAATGGGAAGCGATCTCGTCCAGGATAATGACCGCCAGATTCAACTCCAAAGGAAGAAAAGTGTCAATAATCCAATGTTATGCACCCACCAACAACGCAGACCTCGAAACGAAAGAAGAATTTTACAGACAACTACAGGCAGTTTTTTACAATACTCCAGCTGGCGACATTAAAATACTAATGGGAGATATGAACGCCAAACTGGGACCAGACAATACAGGAAGAGAACTCATCATGGGTAGAGAAGCTCTTGGAGAAATGAATGAAAACGGAGAACTCTTCGCCGACTTCTGCGCCTTCAACGAACTAGTGATTGGTGGCAGTGTTTACAAGCACAGAGATATCCACAAGGCTACATGGGTGTCACCAGACGGGCGAACCAAAAACCAAATTGACTTTATCACAATATCGAGGAAGTGGAGACGCAGCCTACTGGACACAAGAGCAAGAAGAGGAGCAGACGTTGGCTCAGACCACTACCTCGTACAAGGGACAATCCAAATCAAATTAAAAGCTTTCAGGGAAAAAGGAGCTGCAGATAGACCACAAGCCAAGTTCAACACTCAAAAGCTGAAGGACCAGGCTACAAAGGACATCTTCATTGCAAACATAAGGGAAAAAGCCGAGACACAAATCAACACCAACGAAAAGGTCAGCGTCGAAAAGCACTGGAACAAATTGAAAACGGTGTGGAGTCAAACCTGCATGGAAGTCCTAGGCAGAAAAAAGAGACAGGACAAACAGTGGCTCTCTACGGACACTTGGAAACTAATAGAAGAGAGAAGAGTGGCGAAACAAAAGATTATCCAGTGCACCGACGAGCAACAGAAATAGGAGTTGAATGCAAGCTACAATGCACTGAACAAAAGAGTGAAGAAAAGTGCCAGGGAGGACAAAAGAAAATATTGTGAAACCATGGCAAACGAAGCAGAACAAGCTGCAGGCAAAGGAGACCTCGCTACACTATACCAAACAACTAGGCACCTTTCGGGCAAAAGTTCGACACAGATTAAGCCAATAAAGGACGACAATGGAAAGTCAATCACCAAAGAGGTGGAACAGAGGAAGCACTGGGCTGAACACTTCAAAAGACTTCTAAATCGTCCGCCACCTACAACGCGTCCAACAATACCAACAACGGAAGCAGAACTACCAATGAACATCAACCCTCCGACGAAATCCGAAGTCCTGAATGCCATCAAGATGCTAAAAGCTGGGAAAGCGCCAGGACCAGATGGAATCCCAGCAGAAGCTTTGAAAATAGACCCAGAGACAACAGCGGACTTGATGACGCCACTACTAGAGAAGGTGTGGAAAGAGGGCAAAGTACCCGAGGATTGGAAGAACGGATACTTATTCAAACTGCCAAAGAAAGGAGATTTGAGTCAATGTAAAAACTGGCGTGGAATTATGCTTCTGTCCATTCCAAGCAAGATACTATGTCGCATCATCCTAGAGAGAATTAAACAAGCCCTAGATGAAAAACTTCGTCCGGAACAGGCCGGATTCAGGAGAAACAAGTCATGCATTGACCAAATCGCCACCCTACGGATTATCATTGAACAAAGTTTGGAATGGCAGTCACCTCTCTATCTCAACTTCATCGATTTTGAGAAAGCCTTCGACAGCGTCGATCGAGAGGTGATTTGGCAACTACTTCGCTACTACGGGGTGCCGCCGACAATTATACATCTCATCCAACAGCTGTATGACAACGCTGCATGCCAAGTAATCCACAACGGGAGGCTCTCGGAATCCTTCGAAGTGAGGACGGGAGTAAGACAAGGCTGTCTACTGTCACCAGTGATCTTCCTGATTGCAGTTGATTGGATAATGCGGCAGACAACGGCAACCAACGAGGGAACAGGCATAAAATGGACCGACACAAAAGCCTTGGAGGATTTGGATTTCGCCGATGATATATGTCTGATTTCCCACAAACTGGAAGATATGCAAGTGAAAACCAACAAGTTGGCAGAAGAAGCATCAAAGATAGGACTTCAAGTGAACATAGACAAAACAGAGGTAATGAAGATTCCTGGCCAACATCAACAGCAACAACCGACAACAATCAGCATAAATGGGAGGAACCTGAAGGAAACAACTTCTTTCACCTACCTGGGAAGCATCGTCTCAACTACAGGAGGAACTGACGAGGATATCAAAGCAAGAATCGGAAAAGCAAGACAAGTTTTCATTTCTCTCAAGTCTATGTGGAGGTCAACAGCATTCAGCGTCAAAAATAAGATCCGTATTTTCAACTCCAATGTGAAGTCAGTACTACTATACGGATCAGAGACTTGGCGTGTCACAAAGAGCAGCTCAAACAAGCTACAAACCTTCATTAACAAATGCCTTCGCTCAATACTCAAGATCAAATGGCCGGAGAGGATCAGCAACAAAGATCTCTGGGAGCGAACCAACCAGGAACCGATCGTGAAACAAATAGGCAGGAAGAAATGGAGATGGATTGGACACACTCTGAGGAAACCAGCAAGTGACATCACTAGACAAGCCCTCGAGTGGAACCCGAAAGGGAAGCGACGAGTTGGTCGTCCAAGGGTGACCTGGAGGAGATCATGTGAAGAGGAATTGAAAGCGTGTGGGCAGACTTGGAGCCAGGTGAAGACTCTAGTAGAGAACCGAACGCAATGGAGACGCATGGCTGAAGCCCTATGTTCCTCTAGGAATTAAAGGAAATAATAATAAAATAATAATAATATTCCTAATTCAACAGCCTGTAAAACAAATATTGATTTCCTTCGTTTGTTGTCATAGTTGCTAAATTCTCTCATTTTTGTTTCACCCGCCTACACTACTAAAAAAGAGAGTTAATATGTAAGTCTTTCAACACACCCACACAGAAATACACACTTCTAAGTAGAGGGAAAGATTGTTAAAACAAGAGAGACAACAGGAAAAGGAAGAGGATTGGAGACTTACAGTTTACCATTCCTGTAGTGTTGTTGCTTGTCGCAGCAGTGGTTGTCGCAGCGGTATTTTTACATTTCAATACAATTGGGAATAGGTTACGTCCATGTGAAAAGCAGATAACACGACATATTAGATGTATAGAGTGGAGAAATGAAGAATAAACTAATTCTTCGTAAGAATAGTAATTCTTATGATTGTTTGTATGTCTGCTGACCAGTGAATTCTTACTTGTTACTAGAGTAAAGTAAAAACAAGCATTACAAGAGGGAGATTATTTATTCTCTACTCTGCTGCCTTGAGAGTTGTTCATTCATTTTATTTTTTTTTTTTTGGGGGGGGGGGGGGTAAATACAACTTAAACAAGCGTGAATTATTTGAAGGATTAAAAGTGACCATTACTTACTTCTATTACGTGTAAACGATGGAACATAAAAAGCACCTTCTGAATCAGATAGATTGATTTATTTCACTATCTGTTTCAGGATTTCATCACGAACTGACATCGGTTAGAGGACTATTGAAAACCATCAAGGAGTACTGGACAGCCAGCTTTTTCATCAGCCTAGTTTGGGACTCTTCATAGGCTGGCACCCATCGCCGGGGTTCGAACTCAGGACCTTTTGGTTATAAGGCGAGCTCGTAGGCCATTAAGCCACTGGGATTCGATCTAATGACCAGCCCATGAATTCCAACTTCTATCAATTCACGATATGGCGCGACCACCAGAGAATGTCATCGCTGGCGAGTATTTGTCCTCAGTACCTGAATAGGGTCAGTCACTAGTGAGCATCAGGTTAATATTGTAGCATTAGTTTGCAGTAGGGATTTCATTGGTTTCAGGATTTCATCATGAAATGACATCTAAATTTTATTTTCAGTTGTTAAGTACCATAGATTGTGGACTCAAGGTGTATCATTTCAAATTGTTTGAGTCATTTTAAATTTCCCGCTATCTGATTTATATTGTTTCACTGACTGACTGACTGACTCACTAAGATTCAACATAGAACTTAACACTGGAATGCAGCGGTTCCAAATAGCACACAAAAACTGAGAAAAGAAAGATTCAGAAGAACTGTAACTGGTAGAAATATACAGAATAAAGATTAGTAATATGGAAAACATGAGACCTTAATGAATCTTGAAGATCATAAAGTATAAATGCGTCTGCGCAACTCAGAACGATTTTAAGCCATATCACTAATAGTCTCCGGCATATTAGGACACTCAAAGAGGCCATCTATACCGGCCTCTTTGGCTTGAAGCAACTACTAAAGACTCCATGGACTGATGTTAGGTTTCCATTCGACCACCTCTAACTCTTTTCCAGCCTGATTCTATGTCGGTTAGCATTACCTGCTGAAGAAAGCGATAGCGTGGGTATGCTTAACACGTCTTCTAGCCATTTCGATCGATGTAGCTTCCCAACCTTATTGATTGACTTACCCTCCTTACCTAACACAATCTACACCTAACTTCAATAGTATTCATCATATTATGCTACTTTACACGGAAGACAGAGCCCAGACACCTATGATCAAAGAAAGCAAGCTAATCTTTTCACATCTTCCACTTTCAATGACTATGTCTCACATCAGTAAATGATTATTAATTGTTCCCTTGGGTTCCTAGTGGAACATAGGGCTTCAACTGCACGCATCCACTTGCTTCTGTCTTCTGCTGTACTTTTCACTTGCATCCATGTTAGTCCATACTGTTTCAACTCCTCTTCACACGATCTCCTCCATGTCACCCTTGGACGTCCCACTCGCCGCTTCCCTTTCGGGTTCCACTCGAGCAATGGCCTGACGCGCGATGTCACTCACCAGCGGCCTCCTCAGCGAGTGTCCAATCCATCTCCACTTTCTCCTGCATATTTGTTGAGCGATTGGTTCTTGTTTTGTTTGTTCCCATAGCTTCTTGTTGGTGATTCTTTCCGGCCATCTGATCTTCAGTATAGAGCGAAGACAGTTGTTGATAAAGGTCTGCAACCTGTTGGAAATACTCTTGGTGACCTGCGAAGTTTCTGATCCGTATAGAAGAACTGACTGACTTGACGTTTGTATTGAAAATCCGATACTGAGTGACGAAGATTTCCAGATTGGCTTCAGGTTGATGAATGTGTTTCTCGCCTTCCCGATTCTCGATTTGACATCCTCGTCCGTTCCTCGTGTAGTTGAGACAATGCTCCCTATATAAGTGAATGAAGTAACCTCTTTCAAATCCCTCCCGTTGATGGTGATTGGCGCTGGATGTTGCTGCTGTTGTTGTTGGTTGGTTATTTTCATAACCTCCGTCTTGTCTATGTTCACCTGGAGTCCTGTCTTTGCTGCTTCTTCGACCAGTTTGTCGGTTTTCGCTTGTAAGTCTTCGATTTTTTGTGACATCAAACATAAATCATCCGCGAAATCCAGGTCTTCTAGGTTCTTCACGTCGGTCCAGGATATCTCTGTCAGTAAATGACGACAGAGTGAAATTATGAGCAGTCAGATATCACGTCTAGGCCAAAAATGACTCAGGGTGGCAAGTGTCACTGTAGCCTTTCGTATCCATGTTGGGAATTCATCAGCCATCCTTCCATTAGGGCTGATGCGTCTCCACAAATAAGTGAAGTGGTCAGTATACTTGACCACTTCTCTCCCTATCTTCACCTAGGAGAACAATGTCATCCACATACTCTAAGTTGACGAAACTGTTCCCTGATAACAAATCAATCAGAGTCATTTCCATTAATGTACATATATAATGGAATTAAGTAGAAATGGAGATAGTAGTGTCTGTTAACATCTCAGCTCCTAGCACTGACGCCTTGACGGTTATCTGAAGCTTAACATTATGTTATACGGTTGATAGTGGTTAGCAGGTGATTCCACTTAACAACTTCTAAATAGGACAAAACGCGCGTCCTGAATTCTATAACTAACTACCACTAATCAAACAAGAAGGCTTCCTACTGATGACCCCCAACCAGCTAACAAACTTTAGGGAATTCATGTTTAACGTAGCTGTTGTGTGTATTGAAACCCATCAAATAAAGACGTCTAAAACCTTGAAGGGACTTATTACCACGGCCTGATTAACTCTCCCTTACGACTGCTACCTCACATGGATAAATGATTTTGTGAAACAGTTTATCGAATGATAATCATATTGTTGTTGAATATTAATGAAGTTCGTATGATTATAAGTTACACTTATTTATCAGAAAGCTTGAAAATTTAGACAAGTTAAATATTTAGTTCAGACAAAGTACACAGACCAAGGTTAATTTTTGCATTAAATGAATGAGGTACTGTAGATTTCTTCTGAAAAATCCAAAAAGAATCACGTCAACTGAAAATTACGATTATGTAGACAAAACACACAAGTTACGCGTAAAATCTAGAACATTGGACTGCCTTAGGTATGGTAATCAGAAGACAGGTTTTCCGAGATTAAACCCCCTCCCCACCAGCCAAGGTACACCTAAACGTCAAACATCAGAGCTGTTCCAGAACGACGCATAGCTCAAAAATGAAGAACACACGAATGTGTGGAGTAAGGCAAAAAAGTTCATAAGGACTGTGATCAAGATTTGACCGAAAAGTTCCAAAATAATTGGGCACCCTGTGAGAAGTAGACATTTGTAAAAACTGTATTTGTAAAATCTCATAGAAATTGAAATGAGTCACTCCAACGTTTCCCGCGTTCGGCTAACTGGTGGTCCAAACTTCTTCAGGGAAATTAATCGAAATTAACATTACAAAAGACATCTCTTGTTTTTAAAAACTTTGTCAAATTATATGAATCATGAAACAGGCATCAACACGTATAATTAACAAAATTGTATGAGCTATTATCAAAATTTGACCTCAGACTCCTTATAAACATTAGTTTTCCTTTGTTAAACACTTTAAAGAGATTAATATCAGTAAAAAGTTTGAGCATTGTGGATTAGATCAAATAAATTATAGTTATATTTCAATAGTTTACACACAATGACAAGTTTTGTTATTGGTAATATTTCGAGCAAAATTACTACCCGTGTTCACACCACTGTTGGAATTGTTTGATTCACACATTTATGATTTGTACTCACATATATAGTTCATTATTTTTGCTCATTCATGTTTTTTTTGTACTTGAGTTATATCCCACGTTCATTCATGTGTTTGTATTCAGAATTATATTCCAAGTTGTTGATAGTTGTACTGAGTCATCCTTGTTACATGTATCCAGTGTGACTTTAATGAATATCGATTCTGTTATAAGTCTCTCTTTCCATTTGTTCATGTTACTTTTTAGAATACACACATTGTCCCAATCGATATTGTGGTTTTTGTCCCATGCATGTGCAGCTATCGATGAATTTTTTTCAAGATTTTTGTAGGCTTGTGTTCCTGTAGGTTGACCTTTGGTTAGGCGTTTATGTTCATTCACTCTTATTTTGAGTGATATGGACGTTTGCCCCACATATTTAGTTGGACAGTCAGCACAAGATATTTTGTAAATCAAGTTGTTTTTACCCATCATTTTTATGGGATCTTTCAGTTGATTTATTTTATTTTTGATTAGATTTGTAGGTTTAAAAGTTGTGTGAATGCCGATATTTTTGAGGTTTCTTTGAATTGCCTCTGATGTACCATTTTCATATGGTATTGTGACTGTCTTTTTGCATTCTTCCACCTTTTTATTCTCCGGTTTGACCCTCTTTTTTATATTATCTCTTATAAATTCTTTTGGGTAGTTGTTTTCGAGTAGCATTTTGAATAGGACATTTATTTCTTTACACTGGTCCTCTGGCGTTGTTGTAAGTCTACGTATTCTATCTGCAAGACCTTGTATTAATCCTCGTTTCACCGTGAGTGGATGAGCTGAGTGATAATCAAGAAATTTTCCAGAGTGTGTGGTTTTTCTATATGGCGTTGTTTTAATGCTGCCATCTGTTATTCTTTGTATTTTGCAGTCTAACATTGGTAGTTCCCCAATTTCATTCTCTACTTCCATAGTGAATTTTATTAAGTCAATACGGCTGTTTATGTGTGAGTGTACTTTTCATCAGACTACGTTCGACTAAAAGTTCATGGTCGTAGATAACTGAATGTGAAAATATATGTGCGTATGAGATATACAGTGTTGGGTGTGTATATGTGTTTTGATGGGTAAACAGCTCTACAATATTTGTTAGCCTCTCCATAAGAAGACATAGACAATCGGGAATTTAGACCAAGTATGATTAATTACTGATACATATGCACTTTTTATTGATTAATCAGGCTTTGCTGTGCATCAGTTAACATCACACCTTCACTGCTGTTCAAACCGTTGGGATTCACCCATATATGCAGGGCTTCTGAAGTCAGTCTTTGTTTATACGAACCAAAACCTTTCTGTAGAACTTTAGTCCTATCAAAGTCTATCTTGTGTCCCGTTTCTACCGTATGCAATGCAATCGCTGATCTGTTTTCTAGCTACTTTAAGTCTCTAGAGGTCTTTGGAACCACCTTTAGACATCGTTCATGCTCTTTCACTCTTATATTTACATGTCTGGAAGTTTCTCCTACATATACGGCGTCACAGTCCCCACAAGTGATCTCGTACACACAATTCTGTTGGTTTTCTTCTTCTATTTTATCCCCAATTGACTCAAATGATTGGACAGAGTTGTTTAAAAATAAGAGATGAGCTTTTTATATATAAACCTCTGTTATGTTAATTTCTAATAATTTCCCTGAAGAAGTTTGGACCACCAGTTAGCCGAACGCAAGATACGTTGGAATTACTCATTTGAATTTCGCTGAGATTTTACAAACATAATTCTTACAAATGTCAAGACAAAAAAGGGTTAACATGAGGTAAATAATTACAACAGATACAGTTTAATTATAGGGTGGTGATTACAAAACACAAAATAAGATTGTTAACACAATAAATGAGATACACTTCAATGGAAAGTACCATCATGTTAACACGGTAATCACATAATTAATGAGACACAAAGTCATACTACTTACTTTTAATTAAGTAGTACAAATTAAAACATAAAGAAAACAGTAGCAATGCAGTAAAATACATATTTGAGATAAACAACTAGTAGGCGAAAATAAATGAAGCAAGGCTGTTGGTCAAATCACTTGAAAACTGCTAGTCAACCTGAAAGTACGATGGAGAATAAAGAACACAGAACTAAATAGTATAGATGTCTAAGTGTTAAAGGGAAAATGAATCTCAACAAGTTATCATATACGTTATGATTCTATGTTAGCAGTTAGCCCCAGCAGCTAGCCGGAAATCGGGTGGCCTCAACTGATTCACTTCTGTGAGCTGAGTCAAGCCGGGGGCATCATTGATGAAGACAGTTTCAAACGAGTGAAAGTACCACTGGTGGATAACAGTGGGGTTTCCAACTCCTTTTGACAGTGACTCAGAAGCACATAGCAGCATGCATTTATGCATGCTTTCTTGATTTTGCGAATGGTAAATCGTGAAGTAATACGAAAATTGTGAATTCGATTTATCTTCGAAGGAGTTTACTAGAAAAATGGCATCTTCCTGTATAGTTAAAGTTTTGGTTTGCTACCCTCTGATTCCTAACCTACCTTCTCAACTCCAATCAACAATGATCTACTGAGAAGAGAGTGGTCGCGTAATATACAAGAGATTTTCCAACCATTTTGGTAAAATAGAGAATATTCACAAACTCAGGAGGAGCGCAAAAGTGAAGCAAATAATAATGAAAAGTAATCCAACTGGGCATTTAAGATTAATGGGGGAAAACGAAGGTTGCACAGAAATGAAATACAGATCATTAATCAACTCCCAGAAGTTCTACTATCACTTAAACTTGTGCTAGGCACTCCCCAGAAAGGTGAATGCGCAGCCACGAGAGAAATGGTGTCTTCTGGGAGATTTGAGCACACACTACCCATTGCTTCAGGAAAAGGAACCGAATTCATTCTCTTTACTTTAGGATAAGAAACATTTGTATTTCTGATTGCGTTGACTCGGAACTTGCCCTCCCGAAACCCGTGCAATCAGAAAATAGTTACCCGAACCGATTTATTGATAAAAACACAAAAGATAAGCAGTGTTATTAATGAACTTGGAATTCAAAGGTAACCAAGCTTCAGATATACTCAAAAAGCCGTCTCTCTAAATCAATCAGTAAGGCATTCTTTGCTGCAAAATTACAAATTACCTTCACCAGCCGCAAGTTGTTCTCCATCTCTGTAGAAGATAAGCTTCCTCGTCTGAACACCTCCATGTGCATTTATCAGTTCACCCGCATTTGCAGAGCAAGGTACACTGGCCTTAGCCAGAGGGTGCTTTGTACACGCATATGAGAGAGTATTCCAGCAGCATAGTTTTACAAGGGAGAAAGGAACGGTGTGAGAAGCTGTCTCTATTCTAAAACACTTGATCTACTCTTGTCACTCTACCAGTCCTTACCATGATTTTAAGATCATCTATCGAATCCATGCTAACTTCCTGCGTTTTCTTCGTTACAGACTTCTAAAGACAGCGGAGGCCTTGGCAATTCATGACTTTAAGCCAGACCTTTGTGTACAAAAGAAGTATGTACAATGCCTACTTCTGCCTTGGCCGTAGAGGGATAGACATTCATTTATTTTGTTTATTTAGTTAATCTATGTACTTTCCCCTCATCACTACTATTATTATTATTATTGTTACTGTCACTATTCTCACTTTGAATTGTTTCCGCTTGTCCCACTTGTCATTCCAAATCCAAAATAATCTTTTTTACAATGTTGAACTCTATCTTAGCGAATTTCACACCATGTTATGTAACGTTTTATAATAGCCTACTAATCCTATAATTATACACCCCTTTCCAACTTCTATATATCCTATGAATTATTCTGTATATGACATTAATTGTTTTGCCACTTGTCATTTAACTACAATTATAATTACTAACATTTTAATTTAATTTCATACTGTTATTATTATTATTTCATCTATTAATATCTTTGATTCAATTCCCTCACCGGATATAATTTCTTAAAAAAAATACCATAATGTATATGATTGTGCGTCGGTGGTATAGCGGTTAGGGCGCTCGCCGACCATTCACATGGTCCGGGGTTCGATCCCCGACCGACGCACTCCATTACCTCGCTAAGCCAGAAATAATGCTGGTAAAGAGGAAAGGTTGGGCTAGCAACCCCATCCTGTAAAATAAACACTGCTACAGAAACTTCAAGCCACTAGCCTGAAGCCTTATGTTCCACTGGGGAACGTGAAGGAAAAAAAACGATTGCAGAGGTTGATAATAAATCCGTTGTTGAAAAGAGTTTCTTCGCTGAATATTGTGTTCAGTCAAAAATGTCACCACTGAGTCATTCGGGGCAGCATCTGGTCATTTATGATATGAATGGTGATTATTCATTGTAGATTTTTGTAAGACTGCCGGTATTCAGGCTACAAACAGCGTATACGTGGTCAGTGGAAAACACAGTGTATAAAATTAACAAAGCAGATAAAGACAACATCCAATATATATTAGAAAAATGATTCACCTTCATGAAGACTCACTTGAATTAGCAGGTTTATTCATGTATATTAAGCATACGCGTACACTGAATTCAAACTGTAAAGGGAATAAAATACCAAAATGACAATAGAAATAACTTTAGTAATACCTGTGTAAAACTTGGGCACTGTGGTAGTAAGTAATTCCATATTAATTTGTTTATTAGATATATCACTCACAGTGAGCGAAACAGTATTATATTTACTGGATGACACCGTTTCGAACACAATTCATTATTGTTCATAATCACACCATCAATTATAGTCACACGACTTCAAAACTTGAGTTTTATAGTTTCCTTTGTTCTCTCCTATTTGTCCTCTTTGGGGTAGTAGAATTTTCCAATTATATCTGGGACAGGTGTTGAATCATTCCTGTTACACTTAGTCTCTCTCAGTTGACCCGATGAACAAAGCTTCCGTTATCAATCTCTACCTCCACCCTCTTGTTACATTAGACTTTAAAACTGTCATCTTATCCCATCCTATTGTATGGTTGTGTGTGACTGCATGTAGTGCTATAGCTGAACTATTCTCTAGATTTCTTATCTTATTTGGGTTAACTAATCTAGCTTTTGCTAGGTTTTTGCGCTTCGCTAGTTTGCCTGACTGACCCTGTCCTACTACTTTGACCTATGTATTTGTCCTGACAGTTATTCCAGCAGGGTATATGATAACTCAAATTGTTCTGTTTAATTGGCTTCACAGGATCCCTTAACCGACAAAGCTTGTTTCTAATTGAGTTTGTGGGTTTGAATGCCACTTTTACTCCTTCATTGTTAGAATTCTGCGTAAGGTTTCCGAGGTTCCTTCTTTGTTTGGAAGTACTACTGATGATTTAGATTCCCTGTTGTTGGTGTTGTCATTATCTTGTGACATGCATGTCGTCATTAATTTTATTATTACCACTATCACTACTATCATTATTTATTTTATATTTACATTTCCCTACTTACTTTCTGACTAATTTATCAGGGTAATTATTAGTTAAGTTTCAAAGCTCCCCTTATATGCCTCACTTCCTGTCTTACATTTTCCTTGGTACTACTTAGATTTTGTGCCCTATTAGTTAAACATTTCACCAATCCTATTTTTACTGACATAGTATGGGATGATCGGAAATTCTAATATCTGTTTGAATGTGAAGGTTTCCTGTAAACGCTAGTGTTTCACTTCCCATCTTCTTTCCTTTTTTACTCTACAATCTAACATTGGAATCTCCCCTTCCTGACCTTCCAATTCATATGTGAATTGAATTGCCTCCACCTTTGAATTGATGTAGTGAAAAATCTATTTATATCCTGTGTTCTAAGTACAGTGAATGTGTCATCTACATACCTCCACCATACTTTGAAGTACGATGGGGCTGAAAGTTTCAATCGCAATTTTTTCACAACTATCCATGAATATATCTGGGCTTCTAGTGATAAATAAACAGGGCTTCAACAATAAATTTCCATTTTATTCTGTCCCCTACAGTTCTATTTAGCTGGCCCCACGAATATCTATTTGCCTTCGTCTCCTCCATGACACACTTGATGAAAAGTCCAACTGGTTGTTTCTCATTCGACTTCTAGTCTAAAATCTGGAGCATAATGTCACTCAATGGTCTCCTCAACGTGTGTCCAATCTATCTCCATCTCCTTTTGGGTGTATTTGTTTGGCGATAACTGGTTGGTTGGTCGGTTGGTTCATCGTCAAAGTTCCGTGTTGCTTATCATATCTGATCGACCATCTTATCTTCACTATCAATGCAGAGAAGGCAGTTATTGATCGACGTCTGTTGTAGTCTGTCGGAAATGCATACGCGCCAAGTCTCTGAATCATGCAGAAGTACTGACTTGCTTGACATGAGTATTGAAAATATGAATCTTTTTTCCTTATATATCCGGAATGCAGCGGATCTCTACACTGATTTCAGGGTAATGTTGATGAAATTCTGTCCTTACTTTACTATCCTGGCTTTGTTAGCCTAATCCGTGCCTTCTGTGGTTAAAAAGATGCTGCCCAGATAAGTGAAGGAGGTAACTCCCTTCATATTCCTCTGATTAATTATGATTAATGCTTGTGGTTGTTATTTTCGCTGATTAAGTATCTCCATGACACGCACTTGAGACGGAAGCAATTATTATTGTTAATATAAATAGAGAACTTGACCATTGCGGTAGAATGTAATTCCATATATTAGATAATTTAATTTTAATAATCATACAGTGATGATGCAGTATTAGCAACTGGATGACGAGGTTTCGAGCAGAAATTATTGCCACTCATAATCATATCAATTTTAGTCACACAGTTTCACAATTCATCTGATATACAATATATATATTCTCTCTTTCTATCTCACCCACTCCTCTTTGTTGTTTGCTGCCACTTTCCATACCTCCAGTATTGGCGTCGCACCACTCCAATTGCACGTGTGCGGTGCTGGATCGATAAACAAAGAATCAGTCAGTGATTAACCTTTCTCACTCTACCCAATCATATTACTTTTTAATACTATCACCCTGTCCCACCCACTTTGTTGTGTCTGTCTGTCTGTCTGTTTTCGACGTAGAACTTTGCGCATATGGGCGGCAGTTCAAGTCGCCACACTCCCTTCATGTAGCACACAAAGCAAGAGAAGAAAGTAGGAGAATTGCATAATATAGACAGAAAGTTGAGGTGTGAGACAAAGGAATAGTAATAACGAAGAACAAAACAGTTTCGTTGGAAATCATGAGTCACAAGGAGTGGATGCATCTGCACCAGGCATTGAGAACGATGAGTTTGAGCCATGTCACCAATTGTTTCCAACCGTTGGTTTCTACAGTCCCGAGGACCCCAACCAGTCAGGAAGCCAGTCTACACCTCCTTACGTGGCCTAGACTAACTGTTGTGGATTTCATTGACTGGTGCCATGTTTTCGTTTGACCGCCGCTAGCTCTTTCCCAGCCTGACCCTATATCAGCTGACATTGCCCATCACGGAAGGCGATGACTAGGCATATGTAACAAATGTCCCAACCATCTCAGTCGATGTAACTTCAGTCTCGTCGATTGATTTCCCCTCCTTACCTAGCACTTGACTGATACCTAACCTCAATATTGTTCACCTTATTATACCACTTCACGTGGGAGATAGAACGCAGACACCTATGATCGAAGACAGCTAATCTTTTCATGTCTTCTGCTCTCAATGGCCAGGTCTCACAGCCATAAAGGAGGACGGAGCGGACTGCTGAGCAGTACACACGCCCTTTGGCCGATAGTCGGATATCACGTCTACGCCAGAGACGGCAAATTCGAAACTAGCCCTCTGTATCCGTGCTGATATTTCGTCAGAGATCAACCTGTTGGGGTTAATAGTACTTCCCAAGTAAGTGAAGCGGTCAACGTGCTCTACCACTCCACTTCCTATTTCTAATCTAGGAGTCGGTGTAGTCCAATCCTGTAACATCATCTTGCACTTGGCGGGAGCAAGTGAATGCAGTGCAATGGCTGGATTTCATTCAAAAGTATGAAGAACCATAGAAAAACTAAGATTAACAATAAAAATGATAAAAAAAATAATACAGAATTCAAAGCCTCTGTAGTACTGCCGTATAAAGAAGGAACGTCACAGACCTTAAGTAGGATTTCTAACCAACCAGCTCTCTCAGAGATGAACTTTGTCGGCTGAAGGACCGAATAGATCCATTTGGAAAAAATAATATAATTTTAACAAAATACTATGTGATGACTGTGAGGTCAATTACATGGGTAGTCAAACTAGTAGATTGGGGTCAAGTAGATTATTGGAACATAAAATTTAACTAGACGTAAAATGATTGACCCTGCTAAGTTAGATAACCTAGGAAAAAGCTCAACCATTGCACTGCAGTCGCTTGCATGTAATCACAAAATAGGGTGAGCGGGACAGAATAAAAGCATTGAAAAGTGATATATACCTACCTGGGAAGCATAGTTTTAACTACAGGCGGAACAGACGAGGATGTCAAAACAAGAATCGGAAAAGTAAGACAAGGCTTCACTACTCTCAAGTCTGTGTGAAGGTCAACAGCACTCACCGTAAAAAATGAGATCCGGATTTTCAACTCCAATGTGAAGTCAGTGCTACTATACGGATCAGAGACTTGGCGCGTCATAAAAGCCACTTCGAACAGACTACAGACCTTCATTAACACTTGTCTTCGCTCAATACTCAAGATCAGATGGCCGGCCAGAAAAGATCAGCAACAGGGATCTCTGGCAATGAGCGAACCAACCAGGAACCGATTGTGAAACAAATAAGCAGGAAGAAATGGAGATGGATTGGCTGGCCATACTCTGAGGAAACCATCAAGTGACATCACTAGACAAACCATTGCTCGAGTGGAACCCGAAAGAGAAGCGGCGAGTTGGTCGTCATTGCGAGGGTGACTTGGGGGAGGTCATGTGAAGAGGAGGTGAAAACGTGTGGGCAGACTTGGAGCCAGGTGAAGACTCTAGCAGAGAACCGAACGCAATGGAGAAGCACGACTGAAGCCCTATGTTCCTCTAGGAATTAAAGGAAACAATAATAATAATGATAGTTAGGTGTAGAAAGAAAGAGGTTAATCACTGACTAAGTCTTTGTTTATCGATTCAACACTGCAGACTTGCAATTAGAATGATGCCACGCCAATGGAAAGTGGCAATAGACAACAAAGGGAAGTTGTAGATACAGAAAGACAGGAAATATGTGTAACATAAATTGTGGAAACGTGGATGGACTGGAATGAAGTTATACGTATATGTTTAAAGAATTCATTGCTAATTTACAATAATTAGTCGGTATTACAGGCGAAGTGAAGTACTTTACAAAGTAATCGTTGCGCTTAATAAAGCTACATATAAAAGTTGTAACGCAAAAATTGTTTGGAATTGTTTCCCTCCTGAACGATCTAATCAAAATATTTATTTACACCAATTTGGACGTTGGTAACTAACTTTGTAATTCCTTTAAAGTGACTCACTGACTGGTTTCAACATAGAAATTTGCACCGATTTGCAGCAGTTCGAGTCGCCACACTCTTCACTCAGCACACAAAGCCAGAGAATAAAGTAAAGAGCAATGCAAAATAGAGACAGTAAATAGCGATATGAGGCATAAAATAATAGTAATATCGAAGAACAATATAGTTTTATTGAGTATTATAAGACACAAAGAGTGAATACATCTGCAATAACCATTGAGAACGATTTTCAGCCATATCACCAATTGTCTTCTTACGGTCTCTAAACCCCCAACCAGGAAGTCTACATCTTCCTACATGGCTGGCTTAGACTAACTGTTGTAGATTTGATTGACTGATGCCATGTTTTGGTTTGGCCACCACTGGCTCTTTTCCAACCTGACCGTATGTCAGCTAACAGTGCCCGTTAGTCGAGGAAGGCGATGGCTAGGCGTCGGTAACACATGTCTTAACCATCTCAGTCGATGTAACTTCACAGCCTCATCGACTGATTTCCCCTCCATACCTAGTACTTGACCAATGCCTAACCTTAATATTGCTCACCTTGTTATACCACATCATATGGGATTTGGAACGCAGGCACATATTATCAAAGACAGCTAGCTTCTTCATGCCTTCTACTCTCAATGGCCAGGTCTCACATCCATAAAGGAGGATAGAGCGGACTACTGAGCGGTACACACGTCCTTTGGTCCTTCTAGACTACATATCATTATTTTAACATTGGCATATTACATGTTGATTTGGCCCTTATTACTTGTCTTTGTCCGGGTTTAATCTCTCTAATTTTTAATACTTCTCTTTATGGTTGTGCGTACAACATTGATAATGTGTCTTCTAACGATATGACTTTTCTTGTGTGTGAATGAAAGTCATTCTGGCCTTCGATTGTCTGCGGAAAGTATTGGTGTGTTTGATTCTTGTGAATAAAGTTTTCTATCCCACTTTTTTGGGGGAATATTCTTTTTGACCGTAAGTACTTGTTTTGTACTTAAAAAGTGGCCTTGATTGTATAGCTGCCTGTAGGCACTGTTGAGAAATACAGATTTATCGGAGAACAACCCTCTTTTTCCTGTCTTTGGAGCCTTTCGTGACTATGCATGTCTCAACGAAGTTCAGGCAGCCATACAGTAGGACACAGAGACCACGAAGAGTCAGTTTTGGTTGCAACAAAGATCAAACAAACAAGGCAATGCAACTACAATACGTAAAAATGTCTGGGAGAAAGCATAACCATATGAAGAATACTGGGAACTAAAAAAAATCCAGGAGAACACAAAATCTGAGTGAATTTGCACCACTGGGAACGATATTGAAGCATGTTACCAACAGTCTCAAACCACTGAATTTTAGCGTCTCAACGACCTGACCCCAGCGCCACCTTACCTGTCTCAAGCCGACAGTCAAAGACTTTATGGAATTTGCTGACTAAACCACCTCTAACTCTTTTCCAACCTGACGCATTCACACTCTTTTTGACCTCCAAGATTCATTAATTATCAGTTACTTTCCTTGTAATTGGTACGGTTCCTTTGCATTTCTCTTTCGTAACTTTCTGTTTTCTCTTATGAAGGTCAGTTACTTGAACTGGTGCATTTATGTACAGAGTTCTACGGTGAAAATTTAGTTCAGTATGATAACATTTTAGGTTAATGACTTGAGTTCCGTAGCGGTTGTACTTCTAACGCCAGAAACATAACAGTCAGACGCCTGAATACCCTAATATCGTCCATTTATTATTATCATTACTGTAATTTTTATTATTATTAGGTAAAAAACCCAAAGTCTTTAGGGATTTCGACTTATACAATGAAAAGTACACAAGAAAATAGAGCAGAGGCTACAGTTTAATCAAACAAATGGACTTACAAGTGCAGAGTTTCTCTTCAACTGACTAATTAAAGCATTACAACAATAGGCACCATGCTGACAGGATAGAAAGACAGTAACAGTTTGCAATAAAGCCAAAAAAGGAACAAATAAGGCCAGTGATTAGTTGAGCAATATGTGAAAATGTATTTTTACTTATATTTAAAGAAACCTATCGAAAACTTTAGGTATTACAAAAGGTATATATATAATAGATAATTTTGTTATCTCCAGTAATGAAAACAATTTAGAAGATATTCTAGATTTCTCCAACAGATGTCAACTAGCAATCCAGTTCACACTAGAGAAGGAGTCCAGTCGAAAAATACCCTTGCTGGATGTTTAACTCACAAGATTTGACAATAGAACATTGAAGAATTCTATCCACAGAAAGCTGATATGGAACAGAATATTCACGAACTTCTACAGTTGAATGCCTTCACATAAAAATAGTCGAAACGTGGTCCGGTCAATGAGTCACTGTCCTGATACCGTGGATGAGGAGTTGAATACTTTAAAATAGGTTTTCAGTGGAAATAGTTGGCCCACACGCCTCAACATAAAATTCACAAAGCCTATACCACCAAAGTGGCACACACTTTCTGTCTTCAAAAAACTTCTCTGTCTGAACGTGCAGTTCAACGGAGACTTATCGGCAGAAACACTAGGAAACTGCTTTTTCCGGGTCATTGAGGAAATTCTCCTTCGCAGATAAACTTCAACTAACTCTCTACGAAAACCTGGTGATCCGTATGAACATGAAGGATTAGTTACCACTATTGGCCTCTATTAATGCATATGCTCCTGTTGAGCTAAACATATCTGCATTTCTCAGAGTTTTCTGTCGAAATGCATTACCCAACATTTCAGCTCACAGTTTTGCAGAAGAGAAAAGAGGTCTCTCCGCAGGTCTATTCTGCAGCTCCTGACCAGTTATGAACACCTAACGAACCCGCAAACTAACTTCAGAGTCCCCTGAAATCTTGCCAAAGGAGTATTAATCAAACGGCTTCAAACGACAGATGCTATGGCAATCTATATACTAAAATCTGAACTCTGCATATAGAAAGCTTTTGTTAAGTCACTGAAGGCACAATGGACCTAATTTTTCTTAACATTTTATATGTCAGAAGAGTAACTCTTCACTGAATCCCCATTCAAGAACAACTGTATTTAATTCAGGCTTATTCAATGTACATTTTAACTGCCTTTACACAGCGATATTCCTCAGAAAAGTGAAAAGGCAAATTAGAATGTCTGGCACTTACTACCGAACTCGTATATATGCAGGTCTACTTAGTAGTAGAGCTGAAAAATCCTGATTCAAACGTATGTTGTACATCAACTACTGAATCTTAAAGGATCTATTAGCGTTTAACACTATTTTGGTCATCGGCAAACCATGGAAGCGTGGATTCTGACACTGCTTCACCGCCTTGTGAAGCAAACTTCTGGCAAAGGGTAGCCTTTTCAGACAACCACCAATCATCAATACCAATTACATTTGCAAGCATTGAGATTTTTGACAAGACATATAAGCGAACAATATTGTTTTCAATTAGATCTTCTTCAGGCTTTACTCTAATTTACATAGATTTATATATAAAATTTTAACCAATGACGGTGATTTTGGGAATCAAATAATAATAATAATCATAATAATAATAAAATGGACTTATACTGCCGCCACCCTTTGTTTGTCATTTTCCAGCCGACCAACTTTGATTGCTCAAGTGAAAGATAAGCTACCTAGCTGTGCCACTTCAATGTGTATCTATAAATTGAATTGCTCCTGTGGAGAAAGCTATGTAGGGCGAACAACTAGACAACTTAACAAACGCATTAATGAGCATCTTCCTTCATGGTTCGGAAAAGGTCAAATAAAATCCATCCGAAGTTCTATTTTGGCTCATTTGATTGATAGTGGTCACCAAGTGGACAAAACAATAGTGCTTTCAAAGTTACCTATCGTATACCATCGAGTCTCTCCAATGGAATCAGAACCCGTCTTTTACACCTAGCCGAAGCTATGGGAATTCGAGAGAATAATCCTAGTCTTTGCATCACGAGCTGACATTAGTTAGAGAGCCATTGGAAAATCAACCACGGTGTAATGGACAGCTGTTTCGTCCTAGTTTGGGACTCTTCAGTAGCTGTCCAGTACTCCCTGGTTGGTTTCCCAATGGTTCTCTAACTAATGTCAGCTCATGATGAAAATCCTGTAACCAATCAAATCCCTACAAACCAACACTTGAGTAAATCATTTTCTAGGCGTATTTCATAAGAACTCGACAACCGTCAGAGAATTATCCTGGTTTGAGATGTTTCGTCCTAATCAGGAGTCTGTGTAATGAAGTGAACACCATCCTAGAATCTACTGGCCAGTGACATTTGAATTCTGTCATTTTCTGACAAAAAAGACACAACGTCAACTGTCCAACAAGATGTATGCTGATCATTGAGAACACACATAAGGAAATTCCAAGTGCATTCCAGGTGGAACATAGGACTTCACGCTCAACCTCCCCTCTTTTCCCGGCTTGTTACCGTCTAAGTGAAGTTGAAGAGTTCATTAGCAAGGAATCAAGCCTGGGACCATGTACGTGATTGTCGATGACCAACATTCTATCACTGAACTATCAATGCGTATAGTTAGATTAATAAATGTATATTTTTTAACTTACAGTGGATTGGATACACCATTTGGCTTCACAATCGACAATACTGAATAAATGAATTGGCATTATGCAAAGTTGTTCATTATTCTGATCACAATTATACTGGTCACAACCAATAGATAGAATTGATAAACACTTTTCAATAATTTCATTAACAAATCTAAAAGTGTTTATGAGAAGAAAAAAGGAATAATACAGAAATTGCAAGTGTTACAATCATATATAGTATTTTTGAATAACAATTCTCCTTACTACTGTGGTGAGAGCTGTCTGTTAGCCAAAATTGGCAGACAGTAATTTACGTCAGTGTTTACGTCCCAAATCTTGATCATGAGAAAATCAAGAAAAAAGCCTAACCTTGAGGAGCTGAACAACCAATCACAGCAAACTTTGCGTGGGCGGATACGATTCGTACGATTCGTTTGACCTTCAGAGAAATGGCCACAATGAGATGCTAGAATATCTTTCAACGAGAAAACAACCAATCAGAAGACACTGTTTCTCTGCTAATAATAACGAATAATATTGTACATAAAAATCTATAAATATCTGTTGATTTTGTCAATAAACGATCTGTTGCCTGACCCTTGTATTCTGTCGTTACACTACTATCGCTACAATGTCTCATAGGAAACCGGTGGAAAAGGATATTTCATTTACGCTTATAGAAATCTCAGGAGTCCTGACAAACAAACCAATGGATAATTAGACCTACTCTCACCGATGATATTCCTGATTGTGGTAGAGTGAGTCATACAACAGACCGTAGAAAGTGAGAAGACGGGCATATGCTGAACGGACAAAAGAAGTCTAGAAGATGTGAACTTCACGAACGGTTTCTGTTTGATGCCACAAAAACTCAAAGATGATATCATGGGAAATAAGCAGGTTGGCAGAAGAGGTTCGCAAACAAGGTAGAACTTTAAGTGAATTTGCAGAAGACAGTGGCGATTAAGATACCTGTCCAACAACAACAACAGCAAGCATCAATTAACACCAATGGAAAACATCTAAAGAGAACCACCAATTTCACTTACCTAAACTAGGCAGCGTCGTTTTAACTATAGGTGGCATACATGAGGAAAATAAAAGCAAGGCAGACCTTCACTAAATGGTTCAGAGACTTATTGAGTCACGAGTAGCATTTCTAACGGTCTACAACAAATTTTCACTATCTCCCTCCTGCCGTAATCAAGATCAGATGACCGGACGGAAATGATAAGCGATGAGGAAACATTCCAGACAAAGAACAGGACAGAAACCTATTGTCCCCCAAATTTGCCGGAAAAAGGGAGATGGATTAGATAAAAGTTGAGGAGGCTGTTGAATGACATAGAGCACTAGGCCCTCTAGTGAAACCCGAATTGGAAATGACAAGCTTGGCATGTGCTCAAGAGTGACATAAAGGATATTGTGTGAAGCTTGTAGACGATCGTGGAGATAAACAGACTTCAAAGGACCTGGTGAAATTCAGACGTACTGCTGAAGCCCTATATTCCAATCGGAACAAATGAGAATAATAATAGTAGTCCATTATATATAAAATTTTATGTTGATGAAGTCATATCAGTGTTATTCAGTAATATTTACTGATGACCACGTTTCGAACACAATTCATTGCTGCTCATAATCACCATATCAAGGCACTACTCACACAACTTTCTTGCTTCATTTATATACATGAGTGGAAATGATTAGACATCTGAATAAAAATCAATATAAGATAGAATACATTCAGCAATATTATCAGTGTTATCAATAAAATACAATCAGATGGGAAATAAGATGTTTTTAGAGTAAAATAGGTTAGTAACTTGTTAGAATGTTATGACGTGAATTTAATACGTTTCAACTTTAATAATTATCCTCTGATTTGACTGGTAGTAATAATATCTTCCATATCTCTGGTATTTGCGTTGAGTCACTTCTGTTGCATGTGTTGGGTGTAGACTAGATGAACCAGGATTCAGTAATCAACCTCTGTATTTAACCATCTACTTATATTATATTATATTATTTCTACTTATATTGTGCTGAAAATTCCACACTGTACCACTAGTACTGTTTCTGGAATAAAGCAAATTATTATTATTATATTACATTTTATAATTTTGACTCTATCCCACCCTATCGCAAGGCAGCCTGCAAATAAATAGGTCAAACTAGTAGATCAGGATCAGTGAGATTATCAGAACATAAGAATTCAGCTAAGGTTAGATTGATTGACCCCACCGGCGAAGATAAGTAATTTAGAAAAAAGCTCAGCAATTGCACTGCATGCATTAACACACAACCACACAATAGGTTGGGATGGAGTCAAAATTATAAAATGTAATATAAGTAGATGGTTAGATAGAAAGGTTGATCACTCAATCCTTGTTCATCGAGTCTACACACCCAACACATGCGCAATAAAACTGACTCAACGCAAATACCAGAGATATGCAAGATATTATTACTAACAGTCAAGTCAGAGGATAATAAATAATGTTAAAGTGTATCCAATTCACATCAAAACATTCTAACAAGTTACTTACTTTGACTGCGAAAACACTCGTCTTATTTTCCAACTGACTGTATTTTATTGATAACACTAATATTACTGCTGATTTTTTTATTCGAATATCCAATCAGTTTCTTTCAAGTATGTAAATGAAACAAAAACGTTGTGTGAGTGATTTGATATAGTTATGAGCAATAGTATTGTGCTCGAAAAGTGGTCATCAGTTATTATTACTGCATAACAACACTGTGTGATTATCAAAAAAAATTTTATCCAAAATGTAGTTATATTCTAGCACAGTGCCCAAGTTTTTTAATAATCAATAATAGTAGTCTTCTTACTATTTTGCAAAATCTTTCTTCACATAAAATCCAGCTTCCCAGTCAGAAAAAAAATCTGCGAATCCATGAAAATATGTGATGTATAAAAGACATGTACAACTTATAGTCCTAAGATAAGACTATAAGAATAAGAAGTTGTCAGTCGAAATATCTATATACACACTTCCTGAAGTTGCGCAAATTATTTTGTCTTCACCATTATACTATTTATTAGTAGTATGAATTATAACACGAAAAATTGTCATAGGAGACCTGTGCTTACTGTTCTGAATAACGAATCCAATAAGATGGAATTGTCTGATGAAATTTATTCATTAAATAGCACTAGATAGATCAAAAATAAAATAAACGAATAAACAATAACTCAATGACTGTGATTACTATCATAAGTGTAAAAATTATCAACGCTTAGAAAGTAAGTTATATGAGAACCAGATATACTTTTTGATTCGACACTAGTAACTAGTGTGATGTGTTTAGTCCTATCTTTGGTGCAGACTGAATTCTATCAGTCAGGTTGTAATGTGGCCACCATTCTGGATAGCTCGCCATCACTGTGCTCATTAATTTGATGATATTAGATGGTTGGAGGCAATCGGTAGGAAGCCTTGGACCTAGGTTTCGTGCTAGTTGGCACTCGTCAGCGAGGCGTATCTGCCACCTTGAAGGAACTCATGTCCTTTCTGAGATTTGAACCCGCGTCACCCAGTGCTGCAGCAGAGACGTTACCACTCAGCTATTCGGGCTCAGTTTGTATTGACTTCAAGATTCATCATTAAATCCATGATCTTCGGATTACAAGGTCATTTGGGTCAATTGACCATTTAGCCGGTGAGATGGAGTTCAATAGTCCATGAATGATCATTTTTCTGGCTAAAAATACATACCACAGCTACCAGCCAATATCACCGATGAGTATTTGTCTTCACATCTGAACGTAGTGGACTCCAATGGTTATAACTTCTCACTAGAAGGTCAGGTAACTATCACCTGCAGCCAGTTACTTGTGATCACTAGAATAATTTTCAAGTGTTGGTTGGCAAAGATGCCATTTATTTTAGCTTAGATCACGAGTTGATACCGGCTAAGAACCCACAGAAAACCAAGAAGTATTCAAGAGGTGTTTCATCCTAGTTTAGGACTCCTCAGCAGTACTCACTAAACCAGTGGCTGAATGGTCACCAGTTCCTCTTTTAACCACCTGTAGGTCCTCAGTTCGATCCAGTCCTGATGGAGTCATGGGTGCGTAATCTTGAAGAGCTGTAATCATATACAAAACTTCTTTCCAGTACTCCCTGCACACCATTAGTTCTCTAACTGAAGTCAATTCGTGATCCACCTTGAAATTAATCGATTATATAGTAAATTATTGTTCATTACATACACTGAACAAAAGAAATAAAATATGAGGAGGCTGTGAATTAAGATATGAGGCTACGGATTCAATAAATAAAAAATAGTCGCTTGAGGCTATTCTCAACTAATATACACAAATAAAACAGCTAAATTATTTTTCGACAGATTCTGATGTTTAGCTAGAAAAGATAATGAACTTCTGACACAAAAAGAACCACTAGGTGGCAGTTTGAGATGAGGATGGAAAAGATAATCAAAGCTCGGCTACTGGTACAGAATATCTGAGGTGTATGCGTCATTCTATTCTGGATAAAGTCTTTCCTGTTAGATATTTTGCGATAAATTTAGATGTGTGATGTTGTAAACAAGATAATATTGGATTTGGGCTCGAACTTGGGGTGAATAGTTAGTCAATAGGCAATCAGCCTCAAACAATATACGGCAAAACTGAAGTTGTTGTTACAGTTGAACGGTATTCTCACGTACTTCAGCGTGTGCGAATTCGTATTCTCGTAGGATTCACTGTGAAAGAAATACGTGGGGTTATAGGAATATGAAAGAAGCAACCTCCTTCACCTACCTAGCTACCTACTTACCTGGGAAGCATCGTTTCAACTACAGGCAGACGAAACTGATGAGGATATGAAAGAGAGGATCGGGAAAGCAGGGCAAACTTTCACTTCTCTCAAGTCAGCATGAAAAATAAGATCAGGATTTTCAACTCCGATGTGAAGTCAGTGCTACTTAATATACGGATCAGAGACTTGGCGCATCAGGAAGGCCATCTCGAACAAACTACAGACCTTCATCAACAGCTAGCTGACTTCGCTCAATACTACTCAAGGTCAGATGGCCGGCCAGAAAAGATCGGCAATAGGGATCTCTGACAATGAACGAACCAACCCAACCCAGCAGGAACCGATTGTGCAACAAATAAGCAGGAAGAAATGGAGATGAAATCGAGAAAAGAAACCACCAAGTGACATCACTAGACAAGCCCTCGGGTGTAACCCGAGTTGGCCATCAGGGCGAGAGTGATACAGAGGAGGTCATGCGAAGAGGAGATGAAAGCATGTGGACAGACGTGGAGCCAGATGAAAACGTTGGCGGAGAACCGAACGCAACGGAGACGTGTGGCTGAAGCCCTATGTTCCTCTAGGAACTAAAGGAAGCAATAATAATAATAATAGGTGATACGCTCATCCTTTGTGAAAATTATTTCGAGGGATGAGGAAAAATGTCCCAATTCAATGAAGTTTATTCAGCTATCAAAAATTCACGTTCGAAGAAGAATTCTAAAGTAAAATTACCTCCTTAGACGCCCTACTCACAAGAAGATCGGACGTAGTATGAAAAAAGGAATTTGCACAAGAAAAGTACACCGACAGGACAGCATATATATTTTAACAGCTTTGTTCTTATCCAGTACAAAAGAAGTTTGGTAAAGACCTTGAGCTGCAGAGTTAGAACTGTTTGTTCCGAAGGTGCAATCAAAAAGGAACTTAAGATTGTATATGAAACTTTAACTGAAATTAGCCACCATGAAAAATTCATCACTAAAAATATGGCCAAGAGAATAGAAAGGGATACTTCCTTATCGGCTAACAAGAAACATCTGTATATACAACTGCAGTTCACAGGTGGTGTACCAAGCCAAGTAATAACCAAAAAGCTGAGAAGATCGATTTCAAGGACTTTTAATACTAGCAAGTTGCAACTCACATTTTCTATATTTTCTTATGATAGTTCCGAAACTGAAGGACGAAATATCTAGGCTAGCCAACTCTTATTGCACCTACCAGTTCAACTGCTATTATGACGCTATTCACATTAGCCGTTGTTCTTGGAACCTAATTTTTTGTGCTTACAAACACCTACTCGTGTGGCTGAATAAAGGCGTTATTAAAACCATCAATATTTCTATATTAGATCATCTCCTCCAAACAGGCTACAAACCAAACATTAAAGAGTCTTTTTCTGTTATCTATCGAATACCAAATAAAAACGTTAAAAGCCTCTGTACCAGATGGTTGGAGGCAGTCGGCAGGAAACCTTGCTTGACCTAGATTTCGTGCTGGTTGCCAGCCACCAGTCAGCAAGGCGTGTCTGTAACCTTGAAGGAACTCATGTCCCTTCTGAGATTCGAACCCGCGTCATCCAGTGCTGTAGTCAGAGAGGTCACCACTGTAGTGGGTACTTTGATTGTACACTAGCCAGTAACTAGTGTGACGTGTCTAGTCCTTTGTTTGGTGCAGACTGACTGATGTGCACCGTGATGACGACCTACATAGAATGGTGGCCACATTGCAAACTTGACTGATAGAATTCGGTCTGCACTAAACAAAGGACTAGACACATCACACTAGTTACTAGTGTCCACCGAAAGCCTCAGTTGACCGAACACTCCGAACAGCAGAAGCCATTGCAATTCGCTTGACATAACCGGAGTTCTGTGTGCAAAAGTAACAGGCCTAGATAGCCACTACTGCTACTACCCTGAACTGTTGGGAAAAACTATAAATTCAGAAATTCTGCACTATTATTTTCTTTAATTTATCTGGTATTCAGTTAAGCGTTATTTTTATGCATAATCTCACAAATAAGTGTTATTGACCCTGGATATTATTTAAAAGAAAGTTATTGTTTTGTTGCATGACAAGGTATCTAATACAGTACTACAGGAGGTCAATCGCTAGCCTGAATATTTCAATAGTAACGTGTGTGTGTAACTGTAGCATTTAGAAAGGAGAAATGAATTCATCCAAGGTTGCAGATACGCCCTGCTGACGTGTGCCAACAACCACGAAAATGGACTCACACAAAAGACTTGGAGGATCTGGACTTCGCCGATGATATATGTCTGATCTCCCACAAACTGGAGCAAGATATGCAGGTGATGAAAAGCAACAAGTTGGCGACAGAAGAAGCATCAAAGATAGGACTACCTTCAGGTGAACATAGAGAAAACAGAGGTAATGAAGATTCATGGACAAGAACAACAACAACAGACAACGACCAGCATAAATAGGAGGAAACTGAAAGAAACAACCTCCTTTACCTATCTGGGAAGCGTTGTTTCAACTACAGGCGGAACTGTTGAGGGTATCAAAGCAACAATCGGAAAAGCAAGACAAGCTTCCACTACTCTCAAGTCTGTGTGGAGGTCAGCAGCACTCAGCATCAAAAATAAGATACGGATTTTCAACTCCAATGTGAAGTCAGTGCTACTCACTCTACGGATCAGAGACTTGGCCAGCGCGTCATAAAGAGCATCTCAAACAAACTACAGACCTTCATCAACAGCTAGCTGTCTTCGCTCAATACTCAAGATTAGATGGCCAGAAAAAAAACAGCAACAGGGATCTCTGGGAGCGAACCAACACAGCAGGAACCGATTGTGAAACAAATAGGCAGGAAGAAATGGAGATGGATTGGCCATACTTTGAGGAAACTATCAAGTGACATCGCTAGACAAGCCATTGCTTGAGTGGGACCCCAAAGGGAAGTGGCGAGTTGGTCGTCAGTGCAAGGGTGACTTGGAGGAGGTCATTTGAAAAGGAGATGAAAACGCATGGGCAGACTTGGAGCCAGGTGAAGAGTCTAACAGAGAACCGAACGCAATGGAGACGCACGGCTGAAGCCCTATGTTCCTCTAGGAATTAAAGGAAACAATAATAATAATAATCGACTGTGCCCAACCATATTTGTAGAACCTAATCAAGAAGTTACTGAAAATGTGAATATTCTTTTTTTTCACTACTTCTCAGTGTTTTAGAAGTTTTAAAATAATAATACAAAATAGACAACAACATAACTTACTGCCCTTAAAACACGCTGATTACGACTCTCATCAAAATCGATACCATCAATAAGAGGTGGATATTGATGTGCATTTCTAACGAATTGCACCTGAAGATATTCAACTGTTGAAAGAATGAGAACAATACCAACACATATACATATAAATTAATTAGCAAAAGCGAAAAAGTTCTTATTATTATTAGCATCGAATGATTACATGAAATCAACGCACAGTTGCACTGAGTGAGTTGTAAATGCTTCCGAGGTCGACAAACAAACAACTGCATTATACATACCATCTTCTGAATCAGATTAAACGAAAAATAACAACAGCGTAACTATTAAAGTCTGATAAATTTACTCCACTATATTGCTTGATTGGTAGGAGGCTGGCATTGGAAACCCATGACGCGAGTTCTATTCCCCCGTGGAGCTCTTCAAATGGCCCTATCTGCCTCTCCAATGAGCGATGGTATTCCCATCTATCCTTTCAAATGGCATAGTGTCTTCTGGTTGATCAGTAGGCCAGCGACATTGAAAACGATGGGTGGTGAACACAAGTCTTATAGGGAGAATTATGATTTATCCAGGTTACAAGTATATTGATTTGTTATTAAATATTAATTATTATGTGAATCATAGACTTAAGTATTCAATTTTCCAAAGCTACTCACTACACTCTTTCACTATTTTCACTAGTTAGTGCGTGGGGATTTGATTTGTTTAGAATTTAACCACGGATTAATGTCAGCTAGAGAATCATTGAAAACCTTGCAGTACTTGACTGCCAGTGAGTATACAACTAAGACGAAACAGCTGTCCAATATTCCCTGGTTTTTTTCAATGATTCCCTGACCGAAACCGATCTGTTACCAAACCTGAAACCTTTTTCTTCGCATCCAATCAAACAAAACCAATACTTGAAAATTTATCTGATGCTCAATAGCGACTGGTCCTATTCTGGAAGTGACCTAGGGTTCTAGTGGGAAACCGTGACCAGTAGGGTGCAGCAGATTGAAGATGAGACAGTAACTCATCGAAGAAGACATTGCGAAATGGTCACGCTATGTTGTAAATTGGCAGAAGTTAGAATTCATGGGCTGGCCATTGGATCGAGTCCCAGTGGCTCAATAGTCTACGAGCTCTCCTTGTAACCAGTAGGCCCTGGGCTTGAACCCCGGTGGGTGCGTGCTGATGAAGAGTCCCAAACTAGGACGAAACAGATGGCTGTCCAGTACTCCCAGCTGGTTTTCCAATGGTTCTCTAACTGATGTCAGCTCACGATGAAATCCTCCATCCAATCAAACAAAATCCCTACAAAGCCAATACTTGAAAAGAACATAATTATTCGACTTAAAAATATTGAACTCCATATTGGACTCCATTGGTAACAACTTCTCACTAGAATCCCAATAAATTTCATCCTGTAGTCAGTCACTTGAGAACATCAGATATAATACCAGGGATTTACTTGGTTTCCAGTAAGATCACGAACTGACTACAGTTGGAAAATGAGGTGGTGATGGACAGTTGTTCCGTCCTAGTTAGGGACTATTCGACAGTACACATAAATGATCCCACAGAGTATTGAAACCAGAAGATTCAAGCTAGATCCACCCTTCTATTTGAAAAATTGATTAAACAGAATATTTTGCTGTTTCCATAAAGACAACCGGCTACAATGGTCAACTTACAATGATAATTTTATTTAACCGGCATTATTTCTTGTCTTCCTAATGCAAAGGATTAGATGGCAAGGAGAGAATTAATACCCCCTAACCAACTTATCGTAAGTTGGTAATTCAGGCTTAGAATGCTTGTCAACCAGTCAGGCACTCTAGGGTCGACTCCTAGCCAAAGAACTCCTAAGCCCTTCCTAGTTTACCATCTGGTAGTAAGCCTGCAAAGGAGGTAAAGTTGAGTGTCAGGCTAGCAACCCCACGAAGTTATGGTAACAACACCACCTCTACTGAAACTTCAAAGAGTGCAGCAGGTCAGGTGTGAGGACAAATACTCGCCGAAGACATTGGCTAGCGGTTGCGTTATGTCGTGAATTGGCAGAAGTTGGAATTCATGGGCTGGCCGTTGGATCGGCTCCCAGTGGCTTAACGGTCTACGAGCTAGCTCGCTAGCCTTGTAACCAGAAGGTCCTGGGTTTGAAGTGCGTGGTGTGGGTACGTACTGATGAAGATTCCTAAAGTAGGACGAAACAGATGGCTGTCCAGTACTCCCAGCTGGTTTTCCAATGGTTCTCTAACCAATGTCAGCTCATGATGAAATCCTGTAACTAATTCAAATCCCCAGCTGGGTCACAGGGGAAGAATAGATAACTAACATATGAAGAGCCAAACAAATTTTTGAAGTAAAACGAATGTATTGACTTACTTAAAAGGCTGTAGGTTTCACGAATATTTGGCGGAGTAGTAGAAAGTCCTTTACTAATATACCGTAATGAAAGACTCTATATTGAAAAAAGCAAACATTATACTGTGATAAAAACAAAAATTGATAACAGTTAGTGAAAATGAATATTATTATTATTATAATCATTATTCCCTTGGGTTCCAATTGGGACATGGGGTTTCACCAGCACATCGCCACTTCCCTCTGTTCATCTCAGTTCTTCTAAGTTGGCTTCACGACTATCCATACGCTTCCATTTCCCTCCACGCCATTCCTTCATGATCTTCTCCATATCATCTCCAAGGTGATGCCCAACTCGTTTTTTCCCACTCAAATTCCACTCAACAGCATGATGTGCAGTGTCACTCAGCGGTCTCCTCAGGTTACGTCCAATCCACCACAACCTCATTCAGGATATTTTTGGGCAATAGGTTCTTGGCCGGTTCATCACCAGAGTTCTTTGTTCCTCATATTTTCTCAACTGCCATCTGGTCTTCATTATCAAGCTATAGAAGGCAGCTGTTGATAAAAGTCTGTAGTAGACGGTATAGAATGCGTCTCGTGACACACCATGTCTCTGAATCCTACAGCAGCACTGGCTGAGTTGATAACAGTGTTAAAAATCCTAATCTTGTTCCCCATACTGACTGTAGCAGATTTCCACACTGATTTCAACTTGTTATCCATAGGTCATTACATGAATATCTAATCAGCCACTTTAAACTTAAAAGCCCACCATGAATTCAATTTATATATGCATGCATGCATTGCGGTGCGTCGGTGGCATAGCAGTTAGGACGCTCACCGACCATGCACATGGTCCGGGATTCGATCCCCGGCCAACGCACTCCTTTACCTCGCTAAGCCAGAAATAATGCTGGTGAAGAGGAAAGGTTGGGCATGAGGCTAGCAACCCCATCCTGTAAAATGAACACTGCTACTGAAACTTCAAGCCACTAACTTGAAGCCCTATGTTCCACTGGGGAACGTGAAGGATATATATATATAGATTGCAAATTTATCAACAATGCTTTTTTCGTCATGAGTTCTAACCAGCTAGAAAGCTGAGAACCCATTACCTGATGCTTAATTACGCCCAGGACTGTAGACAGTCTCATTCTGAATATCTTGGAATTCAGTACCATATTTTCTGAACGCTAGAATACTTTTAAGGGCAGAAACACAATGGTATTTGGTAGCAGAATTGTTTATTCGGCGAAATGCATAAAATCCTTACATCGAAACATATATTTTACATAGGTTCCTCATATTCTGCTTCTTTTTCCCTTTATTATAGACTGATCCTCATTCTCCTACCTTTCTGTAACTTAATCTGTCGCTCAACTATTCATGATTCCTACAGAACTCGTCAATACTATACTACTTATAAAACCTTGTCAGTAGGACATGTCACACGGATACAGAGCTAAAACTGACAGAACTGGAACCGATTCCAGACGAAGTTAGGCTACACAACGATTACAAGTACCACACTATGAATGATGATTAAACTCACTAAAGTTGTAGGGGGTCATTGATACTTAGTATGACCCATGAAGAGAGATAACAACTAACTGAAGATGAAGAGACAAAAGGAAGTATTGCAAGCATAGATAAATGCCTCATTTTTTACAAGTTCGTGTATTTATTTACCTATCTCTCCAGTATGGATTTAGATACTGTACTACTCTGCCCATGTTTAGAGGCAATTGGTAGGAAGTCCACCCTTTTTGACCTAGATTCTGTACTTTTTGGCACTCACCGGTGAGATTCGAAACTGCGACACCTAGTGCTATTATCAGAGATGTCACCACTGAGCTATTTAGGCAGGTAGTTTATCTCCTGTAGGACGCTTCTTCCTCTTCTTCTTTATAAAGCACCAACGACATCCTCTAAATATCTAAGTCAGAAATGTGATTTGAAAGAACTGGTGAATAGCATAATCTCAATGTAGAAAAAAACAAATATTTATGAATATGGAAAATCTTATTTGTTTAATCAACTTTCCTCTTAAAAGTAAAGTCTTTCAAATCCATACAACTGCTTTAGTAACTAGACGTAGACTTTCAAGAGGTCACCTTGACAACGTTTGACTATTCTCTGGTAAGTTAATTATGTATGTCAACAATGGAAGACGATATAGCTCAATGGTAACGTCTCCAATTGCAGCAATGGGTGACGCGGGTTAGAATATCAAAGGGGAAATGAGTTCCGTCAAGATTGAAGATGCGCCTTCTATTCGATTGCCTCCAACTGCCTAACACCAATTCACAGTGTACCACGATTGCAAGCCCCCCAGTTTGGTGTGACCAAACTACAAACTTGACTACACCAACACCAAGGACTACATGTGTGACATCTGTTACTCCCTAGTAACTGAACAGTAGAGTCAATTTATTGTCTAATCCACAACTGAGCTAACATTGAAAGTACCATTTCCTTCCATGGAAATGAATGGTAACATAACTTAAGAGTTTCCTTTCAGATATAACATATTCTCGTGCAAAGTATTATTTTCTTCTATTCCTTGCACTTTCAGCAGCGGTGGGGTTTCGAGTCTCACACTCACTCAACCTTCTCTATTTACCTTGGCTTCCTACCGGCTAGGTGAGATTTAGGTGCAAGTTGGTTGAACCTTCCATGCGAGTCATTGGTCAGCATTCTACTGTAGAACTATGTAGACGTACGCATAAAATTCTACACCTTTTAATTTACAGCATACTTCCATCGAAAGACAGAGGTCATGAAGACTTCTAATCAATAGAAGAAACAAGCACCAGTCACTACCAAGGGGGAGATATTCGAAGGAAATAAGTGTTCTTCCACTTATCTAGGCAGCATCGTTTCAACGACAGGCAGTGCCAAGATCGGGAAGGCAAGATGAGCTTTCATTAATATGAAGTCAGTCTGAATCATGCAATAAGCATGAAAAGCATGATTCAGCCTTTCAACACGAATATCAAGTCACTGATTCTATATGATTGCAGAGACTTGTCATGTTACTAACAGCATTTCAAACAGGCTACTGAAGGTTTTTTGTATTTCCCAATGAATGAAAAACAAAACGAATATTGTTGCTTTGACTGACGTTTCGCTATTTAACGCTGATGCTAACAGCTTTATCAGAGTAGTAATATTAAACCAGAATTTACAAAATCCACTAAGCTTATATATAACAACATAATCATCTTTCCTCAACATGGGGTTATTTTTGCGTCGTCAAATTGGCCAATTGGTAAAGATAACAGAACCAGGTGTAGATTGTTGGATTTGATAAGTGTGTCAAATTATAAAAGCAGCGTGTGTTTACATAATGAAATTGCTTATCACATTCGTGTTGATTTAGTCATTTCATGGGGGAGGCAGGTGTTGTGACCAGGTCAAATTCTGTTTTAGTCCATCATTCCTATTCAGACAATTTGGATTCCACTTGATGGCATGAAGTGCTTCTGATGATATTAGACATTCTTTGTGATTTCTGAAATGCCTCTTTCTGGATTATTTCAATATTGTCAAAATCAATTTTGTGACCTGATTCTATAGCGTGTAGACCTATGGCTGGCTGATGATTTTTCAAGCTTTTCTAATTCACTAACTGGATTTCTCGGTGGTCGAACAGACACTCAGTCTACGGTAGTCATTTCTTCTGATTTTGATTTCTCTCTGGCGATGTTTGTCCGATGTATATCGCATCACATTCCAAGCATTTTATTTTCTAGACAGAATTAGATAGAGAATCTTTAGGGATTTGGTCTTTTACATGTTTTGAAGAAAACTCTGATGTTGTGCTTATTGAGTACTCTTCTGATGTCGTCTGATGTCTCTGCTCTACGTGGAATGACAGCTGTTGAGGTCCATGTTTTCGGAATACGTTTTCGACCATGCTTAATGTCAGTGTCGATTTTCTTGATGAAGTTCTTTGGATAGTTGTTTTGCTTGAAAGTCTCAGTAATGTTTGATATTTCTTCTTCTTTTTCCTTCTCATCCGTTATCAGAGAGTGTGCTCGTCTAAGAAATACAAAAAAACCTTTATTATAATGAATATCCTATACCCAATGCCCAGATTTTTTCAAACTGTTAAAAGTGAACTTGGTCTGAATGTGTATAGGCTACTGAAGACATTTATTAACAGGTGCCGTTCAGCTGCGCAATACTGAAGATAGGATGGCCAGAGAGTGGATAAACAAGTAACAAGAAACGCTGACAGGCAACGAACCAACCAGGGATGTATTACCCAACAAATATACCGAAGAAAATGGAGACAGATTAGACATAAGCTGAGAAAACTCCTGAGTGACATCACGCACCAAGTCATCGCTCGAGCGGATGTTTAACGGGAAACAATGAGGTGAGCATATGCCCAGAGGTGATATGGATGAGATCGTTCAAGTCGGCAGAAAGAAGGCTATGGCTATCAAGGAACCAGTCAAGGATGACTAATAAAGCCCTGTGCTCTACTCGGAACCTAAGGGAATAATAATAATACCTCCTTAGACTGAATTCCTATGAATGGCCAAAACAAACAATATTGACACAAACTAAATGAACCTATCTTCTTATGACAATAATTGTTTAAACATACTTACCCATAATGTGTCATCTTCATCGTTCAATGCATCAGCCAGGCCACGTCTTAAACCACCAGCTGTAATCACTTTTATACTATTACCCCTACTACTACTATTTATGTTATTAGTAGTATTCATAGAATTGTCATTATAATCACCAATATCACCATGCATGGATAATAAATTCTCATCAGGTGTAATGAATCGTTGAAAAGCACCGGATTTTTTGAATTTTGATGTATTAGATAACTTGTGAGAAATAGGTGTATCGATTAAACTTGAAGAGTTGTCTTTGTTTTCAGCAACAATGATGAATTATCATTAACAGTTGCAGTAGCAGTAGCGTGGTCATTTAAATATGTCCATACTTCACAAGCTTGTATATCAATTATCGGTAAATGAACTAATTGTTTCAAAGCTTTTTGACGACAGTCCAAACGACTTGAACGACTGTCTAAAGCACTGGCTAAACTGATCAACTGATCTTGGTTCATTACAGTGAATCCAACCTGAGAAAAAAGAAATGAAGAAAGAAAAAAGATAAGAAATGAGAAGGAAGTTACAGGAAAAATTAAATCTAATTAAATTAATTAAAATTAAATTAAATCGATCGAGAGGTGATTTGGAAACTACTTCGCTACTACGGGGTGCCACCGACAATTATACATCTCATCCAACAGCTGTACGATAATGCTGCATGCCAAGTAATCCACAAACGGGAAACTTACGGAATCCTTCGAAGTGAGGACAGGAGTAAGACAAGGCTGCCTACTATCGCCAATGATTTCCTTGATTGCAGTAGACTGGATAATGCGACAAACAGCGGGCAATGAGGAAACAGGCATAAAATGGACACACACAAAAAACTTGGAGGATCTGGACTTCGCCGATGATATATGTCTGATTTCCCACAAACTGGATGATATGCAAGCGAAAAGTAACAAGTTGGCAGAAGAAGCATCAAAGATAGGAGGGACTTCAGGTGAACACAGAGAAGACAAAGGTGATGAAGATTCCTGGGCAACAGCAACAACAATCAGCATAAATAGGAGGAACCTGAAAGAAACAACCTCTTTTACCCACCTACCTGGGAAGCATCGTCTCAACTACAGGCAGATGGAACTGATGAGGATATCAAAGCAAGGATCGGAAAAGCAAGACAAGCTTTCACTACTCTCAAGTCTGTGTGGAGGTCAACAGCACTCAGAATCAAAAATAAGGTCCGGATTTTCAACTCCAATGTGAAGTCAGTGCTACTCACGTACGGATCAGAGACTTGCACTGCGCGTCATAAAGAGCATCTCAAACAAACTACAGACCTTCATTAACAGCTTGTCTTCGCTCAACACTCAAGATCAGATGGCCGGCCAGAAAAGATCAGCAACAGGGATCTCTGGGAGCGAACCAACACAGCAGGAACCGATTGTGAAACAAATATACAGAAGGAAATGGAGATGGATTGGCCATACTCTGAGGAAACCATCAAGTGACATCACTTGACAAGCCATTGCTCGAGTGGAACCCGAAAGAGAAGCGGCGAGTTGGTCGTCCAAGGATGACTTGGAGGAGGTCATGTGAAGAAGAGATGAAAACGTGTGGGCAGACATGGAGCCAGGTGAAGACTCTAGCAGAGAACCGAACGCAATGGAGACGCACGGCTGAAGCCCTACGTTCCTCTAGGAATTAAAGGATATAATAATAATAATAACAATTCTCTAGAGTCTTTCACCTTCCAGTTGTGCTGAACATATCTTCTGCAACTGTGGCTCAGCTGCATCGAGTATAAACCAACCTAAAACTAGACTGCTATACTTCCCCTTAGTATTAGTCAAAAATAATCAAATGTAAAAAATAACTCAACATCAGAATAATATTGATATGTTAATATGCCCTAATAGCTCACAGGGTAACGTCTCAGAGTACGGCACTGGCTGGTAAGAGTTTGAATCACCGAATCAGCATCACTTCCTTAGGAGTTTCGGATACGCCTCGCTCATGAGTTTCAATGAACACCAAACCTAAACCAACAGCTTCCTGCTGACTTCCTCCAAAAACACAATAATAACACTTCAGAGTGCATGCTATGGAAGTACCTTAAGACGGTAGAAGACGAAAAGCTTTATAATGGAATATTTTAAGACAGGCAATCGGTATTTCTATATAGCCAAATTATGTACACCTTATCTTCAACGCACCATTTGCACAGATCTTCGTGTAGTGGTACTTCGGGACTTCATGTTGTGTCTCTTTGGGTTCCTTTCACGTCTCCCATGTATCTCCACCACGCTGCATTATTTGCCTTCTCTGAAATCAAATGTATCTCCCTGCTCTATTTGCTGTTTTTTGCTGATGAACGTATCTTTATATACTACTGATAAATCTTATCAGTAGCACTCGCCACAACATGACCTACTGATCACACTGTAAACTTTACTGATAAAAATTCAGTCAGTCAGTTAGGATCAGACAAGTGAAATATGACATAGGTTACACTGAGTGGCCGAGGCATTTTTAAGTTCACTCCTCTCTCTCAAGGCATTTTTTCAAATGGGCATATCATTAACTAGGCCACATTAGGTTTCTGGTGTTGCTCAAACACACAGTTACTTCTCAGTCAGACTGTATAATGTATTAGTTATTATTATGTATATGTCACATCAAATGAATAAATTTCTCACTAGAACCCGAGGTAACTACCTACCCTATTCGTGACCAGTAGGGTGCAGCAGGTCGGGTGTGAGGACAAATACTCGCCGAAGACATTGGCTAGCGGTCGCGCTATGTCGTGAATTGACAGAAGTTAGAATTCATGGGCCATTGGATCGGGTCCCAGTGGCTTAATGGTATACGAGCTAGCCGACTTGTAACCAGAAGGTCCTGGGTTCGAATCCCGGTGGGTGCATACTGATGAAGAGTCCCAAACTAGGACGAAACAGCTGTCCAGTACTCCCAGGTTTTCTAATGGTTCTCTAACTAATGTCAGCTCATGATGAAAATCCTGTAACCAATCCAATCCCTACAAACCAACACTTGAACTAAATCTACTGTTAGGTACCTTGAACTGTGTATTTCCTCGGATGTTTCCTGGTCTTCCCACATCATGTTAGTTTCTAAAGAGATATTTTGTTTAACATTCTATATGAGGAAGTTAAGACGATCTGGTATCATTCCATTTCTATTGTTACCGTTTGTTAATTCTTCTATTCTGCCCATTATTCTTTACTGCTCCCCCACACCTTAATCTTTCCCGGACTACACAAGAAAGACTTTGTTATACTGCGTAGGGCACCAAAAACCGTCAGAAGAAAAAGAGTGGGGTGTTGTTAAACCAGCTGCTTAATATTGTTTTGGATAGACACCTGGATTCGTACAAGAGATTGGCAAATGTTATCCTGTTAGACTCTGAACATCCTCTCCATAAACAACTCTCTCCTTGAATCTCATCAGCTGGGTAGAACTAGTATCAACTATAGAAGACTGTATGCTCGGACGATTAAGTATAAAAACTCTGCAATACCTTATTTAGCTGGGATACATTTTATGTGATGATGAAAGTGTAAGATAGGAAATTACAAACTTACTGCTGAGGAACTCTAAGCAAACGGTACTATTTTTTGTTCTCATTGTAACAATGTTGTTATTATTTTCACTTAATTTAATTTTATATTCACATTTATATTGAACAATATTGTCGATGTAAATGCCCTGTTTTAATTATTACTTCCGTAATGAGAATATTAGATACAATATTGTATTACATACTGAGAATTCCATATTTGGAATAAAGCTGTTACTATGATTAATAATAGTTCGGTCCCACAGGCATGGAAAGAAAAGCAAATCTGTGGACTGTGTGTGTGTGAGTTGACCCACAGTGATGTGTTCTGAACCGAGGAATATATTTGCACAGCTGAAATATGTATCCATTCGCAGATAATGCAGAACGAATCACTAAATAGTGATAAACTTTCCTCATTCCTTGTGTTTCGAGCAGGGCATAGAGTTTCAAGCTTTAAGTTTTCAGGTTTCAGTTGCCATCAGTGTTGTACCTTTCTTATGCGGTAGGATTGCAAACCTTAAACATAACCTTCCATCTTCTGCGGGTTTACGGTAGGCTGGTAAACTAGCGAGATTTAGGAGTCTTTCGGCTGGCAGTCACACCAGGACCTTTTGCGTGCATGGCTGGTGCGTATCTTCTATTGAACCACTGATGTATTAAATGTAAGACTTAATATTTTCGTTTTATCAACCTGATTCAACAGCTGTATGATAATGCCACGTGTCAGGTGATCCACAGTGGAAAAATCAGTGAGGCATTCGAAGTGCATACAGGAGTAAGACAAGGCTGGCTGCCTATTACCACCGATGATATTCCTAATTGCGAAGGACTGGATTATGCGCCCAGACTGTAGGAAGTGAGAAGACAGGAATACTCTGGACCATCGATAAGAAGACTCTAGAAGATCTGGATTTCTCGCGTGGATGATTTATGTTTAATGTCACACAAACTCGAAGACTTACAGGAAAAGCACAAACTAGCCAAGAGCAGGTAACGAAGACAGGACTGCAGGTGAACATAGAAAAGACGGAGGTGATGAAGATAACCAACCAACGATCAACAGCAACAACAACCAGCACCGATCACCATCAACGGGAGACATTTAACAGAGGTTACTTCCTTCCCTCACTTATCTAGGAAGCATCGTTTCAACCACAGGCAGTCGGAACGGATGAAGATGTCAACACCAGCCAGCCAGAATCGAAAAGGCAAGGCAGCACGCCTTCATCAACCTGAAACCAGTTTGGAAATCTTCTTCGCCCATGTAGCATAAAGAACAAGATTCGGGTTTTCAACACAAATATGAAGTCAGTCAGCGAGAAGAAACTCTGGCTGGCAACAAACCAACCAACAACCTATCGTGCAACAAATATGTAGGAGAAAATGGAAATGGATTGATCGAGCAAACGTTGAGGAGGCCATCGGATGACATAACGTGCCAGGCCCTTGAGTGGAATCTGAATGGGAAACGACGAGTGGCTCGTCGGTGCGAGGGTGAAGTGGAGGAAATCGTGTGTCGAGGAGGAGGTGAGAGATTATGGGCAGTTCTGGACCCAGCTAAAGGGATACAGGAAATAGAGCGAAGTGGAGATGTGTTGTTGAAGTCCTATGTTCCACTCAGAACCCAAAGAAGTGGTAATATAATAGTAACAGTGATATTTTGTTTAATTCTAGTACCCTTCCTTCAGGTCTTTTAGTTCCCTCCTCCCTCGAAGAATACTCAATCAGCAATCAAAGCGTCAATAGTTGTAATCCCTTCACGACTGAAAGTATTCCCAGTTTTAATTTCACTTATTATTCCATGATGTCCAAGGTAAAAATAAATCTCATATAATAGTTTATCAAGGAATAGCCAGTAATTCTAAGCAACACCCATTGAA